AAAGTTCATTTTAGCTTTTAAACAAATTTATAAATTTAAATTTCTCCAAAAAAAGTTCTAATGTTTAGAAACAAATATTTAATAAAATTTTTTTACGTTTTCATTTTACTTTTCAAAAATAAAAAACTTAAAAAAATTATAAATGAAATTAGGGATGGCAACGAATCAGATCCGGATAAATTTTCGCTCACCTCAAACTTGACCCGATTTTATACCCGTCAAATTCGAATCCGATCCGATCTAATTTTTTTATTTTTTTAATATTCGAACTCGAATTTGACCCGATATTTATATAAACAGTATCCGACCTAATATGATCTGATCTTAAATTAATAAAATATTATTTTTTAAATATAAATATTTAAATATATAATTATATAAATATATTAAATAAAAAATTAATTTAAAAATTATTTTTATATAATATCGGGTCAGGTTGAGTCTGGTTTGTCTAAAATCTAAACCTGACATTTTCTTAGCGTTACCCAATTCGACTTGAAATTCGATTTAAAAAAAAAAATCAATCCTATAAGATCGAATCGGATTGAAATTCGTTGGAGATGAATTGAGTTGTCCACCCTAAGTGGAATTGTATGATTTTACACTCATATTTTTATTTTGTCTAAATTTTTTATAGATTTTATTCATTTTTTAATTAACAAAAATAATTCTTTACTTAAGTTTTTTTTTTTTACTTAAAAATGTTATGATTTAGTTTAATAAAATTATCTATTTCATTTTTTTATTTATTTAAAATATACAAAAATATTATCAAATAATTTTTAATATTTTACATCACTTTTGCATTAAATTTGCCCAACCATATTAATTTCTCTTTAAAAACTTTTAAAACGAACAACACTTAATGCTCCAACCGAGTCAACACCTACCTCTTTTTTGTCTTTTTTATTTGCATGGGCCCCGAGTTGTTTATTTGAAAAAAAAAAAAAAAAACTTTATATAAATCGAAGCACACTATTTGGTCTTATTAACAAAAAGCCCAGCCTACCAAGACTGAAAATTAGGTTTGGAGTTTACTTGCTCATTGGGTCCTAGCCCACTCAATGAGCAATGGACTTTAATCTACAATCAAAACCGCTTTGAAAATGAGTCCGAGTCTTCTTCCAAGCCACTAGACTCGCATCAACTGAAAATCACTGAGCCCTGTTTCTCTTGCCCCCACAAAATAGGGGAACACAGGGAAAAGAAAATTATAGCGCAAATTTTGCATGTTATAATCATCCCTTTGCTTCACCAAAAACGCTGCTTGACACTCGAAAACAAAACACCTTTAATATTAATATTCAACGATATTCGCGTGATTTATTGATATAAAATTATCTATATATTTAGATTCACTCGACATAATAGTTTTTTTGAAAATATTTATATGTAATAAAATTTAATAAGTGCAATTCTTAATAAATTAAGTTATGGTCTAGAAAAGGAGGAAATAGGCTGCTATTCATATTATGAAATTTAGATAGTTGATATGATCATAATAACCCAATATGATCAGAATCATTAGTTAGGAAACCAATAAATTGATAAATTTTATGGACCATAAAAAAAAAAAAGAAAAAAAGGGAAAATGTAAGACTATTTTAAAGGTCCTACAAACATTATGTGAAATTTTGGCACATCTATTTCTTTTGTCTGAGCAGAAGAATGGATAGATCAATAAAAGCATCCCTTAAGGAGGTCTATGTGCGGGCCATAACTGTATGTTCATGGTTTAAAAATGACCCTAACTTAATTATTAGCTTATAAATGTCTAAATCTTTAATGTTCAAGTCTTATCTACAAAGAATGAGAAATCTCAATATCCAACTTAAAATAATAATAAACCTAAGATTTAACTTAGATGATTCACTCATCTCATTCTTACAAGGTTAGAGTTTCAATCCTCGGCACTTGCAAACTCTCATTCTTCAATTTCTCTAATTAAAACTATCATGAAGCAAATTAATGCTATAAAAAAATATAGTGATGCATGTAATATATATATATATATATATAAATTATTTGATATATTATAAATTTTTTAATTTTACAAACGAGATTAAAAGGGTGACAGATATTTATTTCTTTTTTAAATTAGCTTCTTTTTTAAATGTACACTAAATAACATATGTTATCATCTTAATTCAGGTTATAGAATTAAAAACTTAAATGTCAATATATTTAATAATTTCTCATATATATATATATATATATGTAGTACCAAAAGAAGGACAAAAAAAATACTCAGAAGGAGTTAACTAGTTAATAAAGAGATGATCTATTCTTTTTTTATCAATCAAGGTACGGAGACGAAGGTTGAAGATACCTTTAATCGTATTATAAGAAAAAAAAAAAACTAATTAAAATATTTTAACCCAAAAAATTAAGATAATTATTTTTTTTGTCCACAAGATAGGAGATGGGATGGAGATGGTGAGATTCAAATTCTTACCTTATATGTCTTTTAAAACTTTTTAATCATTAGATCAAAAAGATGAAGAAAACTATTTTTAGTGTGTGAACAAATTTATTAATTTATAGTACATTTTTTTTAATGACTTGGTGATATTATCTCATGAAACAAAACCCTACCAACGCCGATCCAATGTTGGAAAAATACATGAATTAATGGCGGGAAAAAGGAAAAAAGAAAAAAAGAAGCAAAGAAATAAGAAGCAATGCATACGGAAAGCAGAAGAAAGGTAGAGGGGGGAAGTTCAAAAATGGTGGGGAGATGATTGTTAGAGATGGGGACATGATGATCGAAGATGGCAAGCAAAATCATTAAGCATGAACATGAGGTGCAATTATGTGCCATGAGAGTGTGTGTTTTTCACTTTTATATATATATATATATATATATATAGCTAACATACCCCACTAATTATCATACCATTTTTATTTACTATTTCTTTTATATAATCAAACTAACATTTTATAAACTACGTTATAAATTCTGTACCCATTTCCTTGTTATATATATATATATATATATATATATAGTTTGGGTTTTTGCAGTTTGCTGTCCTGTAATTTGGTCTATTTTCATTTACCCCCTCATTTTTTTTACCGTTTATCAATGGACGTCAATTATATTGAAGTAACAGATGATAATTTGTTTGGAAAAATGAAGTGGTTTCTTCTAAATAAAGAGTAGAGGGGGTAAAATAAAAATTTGAGAAAGCACAACAAGTAATTATAGGTTAATTTCTAAAATATTTTTCCTGGTATATTGGAATTGTGTGTAAACCTTAAAGTCAAATGCAGGAGGGAAAAAAAAAAGGGATGCCCAAAATTTGGATTTCAAAGAAATATAGGGAATAATGAGAAAATCATGCCAAAAAAAAAAGGGGGTGGGAGCCTTCCGCAGTTTGGAAGCCCTTTTCTATCTTTTTGTGATGGTGAAATCCAAGCAATCCAATTGGGTCCCCCACTTCTCCCGTCGATTCATATCGTGATGTTATCATTTCAAGAATTTACACTACCGCTAATTAATTATTATACATTTTTTATTTTATCGCATTATATAGTACCCTGTCATTTGAAGAGATAATTTTTACTTTATTAATTGAGATGTTTTCATTTAAATTATAATTATTAAAATTAAAATTTTAATATTTTATTAACGAATCGTACTACTGTTAACATTTAAAAATATAATACTATAATATATTAATATAATTAACATTTAAAAATAGAATACTATAATATATTAATAATTAATTTTATTGCCAATATTGTTACAAAAGCAAATTAAATATTATGGTATGAAATGAATCTAATTAAGGCATATCCCTATCCCGTCTCCCCGCAGTCTCCCCCATATCCAGCGCAGGAATCCTAAGCCGAGGCAAAAGCTTACCATGGGCATGAAAATGGCCTGCAGTGGGTCCCAAGTGGAAACATTCAGCATGACGGGCAGCTTTCTAATGCAAAATATATGGTGGAAATCTAGTGGAAACAAAAAGACTTGAATTAATTAATAGCATGATGGGATCTGGGGCATGGTTTTGGGGAATCAGTTCACATTGTTAGCCTTTTTGTCCAGCTTGTACCCATTTCTAATCTCTTAATTTAGCCAGATGTCAATAATATTTCTACATTGATATAGTTTTCTCAAACTTTATAATGCGTGACAAAATTATATAAGATTTTTCTTTTATTTTTAAGATTATAATTAAGATTCGAATTCAAAATTTTTAATTTTAGAGTCAATTTTATTATCATTGAGTTAATAGCTCATTGCTAATGTATAAGAAATTTTACATAAATAAAATTATCTAAAGAGAATTGTAATTTTGGCTTAATTTCTTCAATTTGTCAAACATGTATGTTGTAATTGGGATGAATCGTACATAATTAATCTCGTGCTCTTTGCTATATCTTATAATTATGGCTTCAATTATGATTAGTGATTAATATGTGAAGCCATTAAGAAAGCAAAGTAAAATCAAAGGCAATGATATTGTTAGAGAAATATTTCAGGTTTCGGTTGGCAATCATTTAGAACCCATTGATCCCTGGCAGCTTCCTTGGAAGAGATCCGAAAGCAGCAACAAATGTCAAGGAGTGGAGCTCATTAGCTCCAAACATGGCCTACACGGTTAAACCAGACACCCGACAATGTCTCCTTGCGGCCAATGTAAGCGACCCCATGAAGACATTTTCCTCATAAAAGCCACAAAACTTACAACAAAGACATGGGATTTCTTTTACTTTACTTAGAAAACAAACAAACAATAATGAGAAATAATGGAAAAATCTCGCGAGAAAATGATCCTGCTAGACCTATAATTATAAACCATAGTGATATCCCCTGTAGTAAACCACGTGCTTTGATGCATTAAAGTTCGCAGAGATCAGGAAAAAGCGATTGCTTAAACGAGATTTTATGTACTTAGTTAATATGGCTGAAGCTTTTTGCAAGAGTGAAAGAGACTTCACTCTCTCAAGAAAAAAGAAAGAGACCTAAGCTAGAAAGAGACTTTTTAGAAAGATAAGCCAAGAGTGAGTGAAAGAGAAATTTTTGTGTGGGTTTGTGTTTATATATGCTGTATTGGATCCTTCGCCAAAGTGGGTTTTCGAAGCCTCTCTCAGCTCCCTTTCTTTATCTCTCTCTTTCTATCCCTTTCTCATCAGAAACATCTTGCGAGCTAAATTCCAAAGAAAAGCTGAGAGAAAACAAATCAGTGAACAATCAAGAAAGATGGTGATGTGATTAATTAAACTCTTTGGCATTTTCTTTCCTTATATCATCAAGGTTCTTTCTTCTCTTCTAGGCTTTCATGTTCAGTTCTTGTCTTTTTCTTTGTTTGCTTGCATTAGCTGCTGATCGATTCGGATCTTTGTTCTTGTCCTTCACCACTTCTCGATCCTAGGTTAATTTCTCAGTGCTCAGTTTGAGACATTGGGTTCATTAATTCTTGAGTACTTTAGTATTTTATCTTAGTTTCTTCATGTACTCAAAATTAAAACCATTTTCATTCATGGGTGTGTCCAATTCTGAGATGTTTCTCTCTGAGAATAAAGATGTAAGCAGTACCATGGAATTCAGTTTCTTGGTTAGACCTCCTTTAGAATTCCAAGAAGATGATCAGTGTCAAATTGCAACTTTTCAAGATGTTGATGATGAGCCTCAACAGCAAAAAGAAGAGAGAGTACTACAAGAAGAAGACAAATGCACGTTGCTGATGGCTCCAGTGGAGTTAAAATTGCCATGTTCAGGAGAATTCAAGGTTCATGAAAATGGTGAAGAAGATGCAAAAAATGATGGGTTCAAGACTCCAACATCTTTGGATCACAAAATTCCTGTCATGCTCAAGTGTCCACCTGCACCAAAAAAACCAAAATCTCTCCCAATATCACCAAAACGAAAAGCGTTTCGCCCGAGAATCCTACTTGATTTTACAAAAGAGATTGAGTCTTTATTTCCTCCAGCTCTTCTTGCAGATCTAGGGAACAAGATTAAGAAAGTCAGACAAGGAAGTGACTTCAAATGATATGATATGTACAATGTATTTCTGTGAAGAATTAGAATCATGTTTGTCTTTTTATTATTATTATCTTCCTTTTTTGGTGTGGAAATTCCCACTTAAAAATTGCATTCTATCTAAATTAAGATAACAATACTGTTTCTCTCATCATCAATGCTATCTTCAGCTTTCGTTTTAACGTATTAGTATCTGTTTGTTCGTGTTCCTTTTTCCTGTTTTTGGTGTTTTGTCACATAACCCAGATCTAAAACCATAAAACGACTTTGCAAAAGATCAAAGCTGAAGTACAAATCATCATAGATTTGAGCATTGGATTCTTGATTTTGGCTGCACCCCACCAAGCAGCTAAAAGGTAGATAGACTTTGTCACTTTGGGTTCTCTATCTCAAAGTTTCTGAATCAAACGAAAATAGAGTCTTCTTTTTCTTTCCTTTCTGATGAGTATTGAGTGCTCAAAAAAATGGATTGCATTGACTTTGTTTGAGTTAAGAAAATGGGGTTGCCAATGCCATTGACTTTCCCAAGGAAAGCAAACATACTCCTTTGTTTTTACCAGTTGGTTGAGCAAACCCAAATAGGATATTCCTTCTGATGGCAGAAATTATCATGGCAGTAAATAGGAGAGGCCACAGGCCATATAAGCCAGATGCTATCTCTAAATTCAGGGTAGTTTTTGCTCCATCCACCACCACCTGCCTTTTGCAAAGTACGGGCCACTCTAGCTGTTTCCACTCACCCTTTTAAATTCAATGGATCCTTTTTTTAATTGTTTTATCTTTAATTTATCTTTTCTTTTTTTTTACAGCATGAGATTTGAGATGGCATATCATATACAAGTCATAGCAGATGGTAAAGGAAATTTATCCAAATTTTAGTGTTCTTCAATGAAGGATTGGAATATTATTATTTGAAGGGTTAAGTGGTGGATTATTAAATAAAATAATACTATATATGGTGGTATGTTTTAAGTTTTTTCTTTATTTTTTAAAAAAAATTTATTCGCACATTAATTCTGCTTCAAACAACAAAAATTGTTCACGATTTAAGTTTGAATATACAGAAATAATTGTTAATGTATTCTATTGTGAAAAAAAAATTATCCCCTGTATTAACCATAACAAACCATAACAAAAGAAAAAGAGTAGTAATGTCTTGGATTTTAAACTATAATTATAAAATATAAATATATAAATAAAATTTTCATTAATAAGTGATTTTAACCATAGAATTTCACATCCTTAAATATTACAAAACCTTATTTTATATGAAATTAAGATATTTTATAATAAAAGCAAATCTTAATATGGCCCAAAGAACCAGTACCATAAAAAAAAGAATGAACCCATTCTGATAAATGTTAATCTTACAACATTCATACAAATGTTACAAATATATATACATATATATTTTCCCCCCTAAAACATTAGATAGTGAATCCAGAGTGAAAATATATAACCAGCCAGGGTAGAATAATTTTCATCTTCCTCCAAGCGACCTGACAGTAGTTACACATGGATAGCATACAATAATGCTTGCTAGCTTTCTCATAGGGCTTTAATAACATGTGCGGCAGGATGCAATTCTTCTCAGATAATCTGTCAGAAAGTCTGTCCCCTTGTACAAATGTTTAGCTCTAATGAGAAAAAACTATAATTCGGCCCTGGAAATTGTCCAATGGCCCTAAAACTTAGCCCCCGTCATGCCTTTCAGAAAAGGGCATGAGCATCAGGCTGAGCTCATGTACAAGGGAATTACCCAAAGCTAGAGCAGTTTATTCTTTCAAATTCTAGCCCATGAGCTGAGCTCGTTCATGCTCCTAACAGTCAGCCAAGTTGTGGGTTTTGCCCAATGATAAAAGCCAGGGCTGATTTTGGGCCGGGTGGGTTGGACATTCCTCAACATTGTGTACCCAAAACAAAAAGCTTAACTCATCATGAAACCTGACAACTAAAATATAAATACTACAAAGCCCCTGCGCAACCAGCATCTACGTTGCATCATTCTGGTTAATCTGTCATTGCTCTAAATACACTTTCTTTCCTCCACAATCTTAATTTGCTTAACAGGTTTTAATTTGTTATCTTTCACGTTCCCCTCATTTTGGACTTGTTCAATTGCATCAGAAAGGAAATGTTTTTTTTTTTCCTCATTCAGTATAACTCTCTACATCTTGAAATAGGGATAGGCTCTTGTTGTTCTTAGTAGGAAGAATATATATTCTATCCATTCTGCAAGCTAATCTGGCAGAAGAATCGTACTCAAGTAACTTTTATGATGCAAAAAAGAGTTGTTCTATTCCAATTACTATGTCTTACATCTTTGCCAACTCAAATCACTTTCCAAGTGAAGAAAAAAAAAAACTAAAAGACACAGTAAAACTTTTGCTGTAAAGTTCCAGGTGGACCCTGGTATTGTCTGTTGCTACATCACAATTTCTGTTTTTAATTAGACCACCAGATTATGTGAATTGAATACTGAAGATATGGTTTCCTTTTGGGTCCTGACACAGAAGATACAGTGAAAATGGCAGTTGATTGGGTTCTTTGAGGCCCATATATTGTGGGCCCAACGTTAAAAGCTTGGGCTGACACCACTGTTTTGTGGACCATAGGAGAAGGTACATACTCGATTGAGATTTAGAAAATCAAGACTTCTTTCATATATGCTTGTTATTGCCATCCACCAGGGCAGAAGCTGTCGCCTTTCCTTCCATTTCCTTGGATCCTCCATGTCTCTCACCTCATCATGAAATTCTCAGATTACCATTTTACCCTAATATTTTTGTCTCAACTCTAATCACAATTTTTTGTTTTAAAATCGAGTTTTCCTTATTATTAATGGAAAATTTGTCAAGCAGATACATTTTGAAAAAAAAAAATCATGAATTCAACAAATGAAGCTGATACTACCTTTAAGTTATTAAGATTAATTGTTACACTTTCATTCATGTGGAAGCATGCATGGCTACAAAATTGTAATTGATTGTTATTAAAGTGATGAATTGTTAAGTTTTAATGATTAGATTTAATCACTGACAATGTTAAATTAAAAAAATCAATGTTCTCTTGTTTCCTTTGCTTAAATTATAATTAACCTCGTCTATTAATAACTTTTCCCTGTTTTGTGATCACAAAGTTTCAAGTTTACAACATTTATCAATGGCAAACATTTTACAGTCTTTAAGAACATAGTTAAGTTCAAGTTGGGCATATAAGTAAATTTATGGGACAGCATCTGCACTTCTCGTGGACTATTTTTCTCAAAGCACATAATGATCTTGTTTTTCTTTTCTAGTCAACAAAACGAAGGAAAGCAAGCAAAGAAAAGAATGCTTCCGAATGATGAGACTCCTTGCTCATTTATTACCCTTTTTGACTATCTATCTTCATCTTGTTTTTACTCTGTCCTTTCACTTTCGCTTATGATATGTAACCCATATTGTTCTTCAAACTACTGTACATGTGAGCTTCTATAACTAGTTTTCTTTACCTGCTCAAGTTATTGGTAATCTGTAGTTTTTATATTTCATATCTAGTACTTGGAGGTGACTATCGTTTTTACTAAGATCAATCAAACACAAACATCCAACTTCAAAAGTAATTTGACAGATACATGGCTCAACAGGTAATGCTTGTCTTCTCTCTTATTCCTTTCGGATATTCTCTCATGGGTTGTCTCTCAGAATTTTTTTAAATTTCTCTTATCTTATAATTGTGGGTCTTGTGTTTTCTTCTTATAATTTCTCTGATAAGGTGTCTAGTTCTTGTTTGTCACGTTGTTTTTGTTTCTCAGCACATTTATTATAAGTTCTTTTTTTTTTTTCCTTTCTTGTTCATTTTATCGACTGTGATGTTGATTGTTTGGAGGTTACTGAATCACATTTCTGATTTGATTTGATTTCAGGAAGAAGGCTGGCCCCTGGGATTGCAGCCCCTGAATGTGAGAATTGGGCTGGCTAGAAACCATGATCACTCGGGATCAATATCATTCAACACTATACTCACCGGTTCTCCAACTTCATCTACAGATTCCTCTTCAGATTTAGACACAGAGGTCAGTGACTGACTCAGAAGGAACTACAGAAATTTTGGTTAAAAATTTTTGCTTAGATTAGTACTTTTTTTTTCATTGGTCGTGTCTTGGCAGTTGTCTTAGGTTTTCTTCTAGGTTTTCATATCCACAGACCACTATCACTCATGATTGATTGTAGCCCTTTGGTTTTTTCTCAGTTGTTTTCTCCAAGCACAAATATGTTTGGTAGTTTTGAAATTTTACTGGAGAATTGTTTTTGTTGATTTTTCTTTTCTTCTTTAGAGTGTAGTGAATGTCTTGATGAACAGTCAATTTATACCCATTTTGCAAGAACATTGAGTACTGATATTAAATCATTTCTTCTTTTGAGGGGCAATAAGTATATATTAATGCAGCATTCAAACTCCCTTTTCTCCTACTCCATAGAATAAATATTCTGGTTTTTTTACCATGTTTGCTAGATAGTAGCTAGTAATTAAAAATAAAGACTCCTTTACAGCCCTGCTTTTGGGGTTAGCATCTTGAACCTGATTTGGTGCTTTCTAGCTGCCATAGTTCTATTAGTGGAGTGGTATTTGGTGCTTTCATTCAGAGTGAGGTCTCCAAGTGCTAGTAGCACTTAATAATTGCAACAACTGTAGCCAGCATGACCTCTGTATTGTGCTGATGCCGTAGATTACAAATAGTGATGTCATCACACTGAGCAATACTGATACTGGATCTTTCTACATCAGATGTCAGATGAAGGACATATTTGAGTAAAATGTGATAGTATATTTTTTTCAAACAAAATGAAAAATATGCTAGGGATTTCAACTTCCAGAATGTATTTAGCTTGTTGTTTTTAGTTCATGATATTATCATAATTTTCTGAAGAAAGGGCGCCATGTCTTATGGTATCGTCTTTGTCGACAGAATGGTACAAGTAGTTGCGTAAACCTTTGATCATAAGTTTTTATCCAATATAATTTTGCAGTAATAGTGTTAAAAATGTTACTTAAAGCAATAATTGGGGCCAAAATTTTCTCAGCATCTGTTAAGATTCAGTAAGATTCTTGAGCTCCATACTATTCCTGCTATTTTGTATGTGATACGATACTAAATTGTTTCAAAACATCATGAAGCAGCTAAATAAAGTTTCTAATTTTCACCATGTCTTTGATTTGGTTCTGGCCTAAAGGCACTTGGAGTGTGTGATAATTTTTCTCGCAATGACGATAGAAGAAATATTTTTGAGAAAGAATACTGTGAATAAAGCATCTTTACTTCTAGTGACTTCTGTAGTTGGATGTATTAGAAATTTGTACTTTTCATACTGATCTAAGCCTGTTCGCCCAAAATGCACCGATCTTTCGACTATTAACTCTTCCTTTGCTTGATTTCAGTCTACTGGGTCTTTTTTCCATGACAAGAGCATTACACTTGGGAGCCTAATTGGTGTTTCTAGCATATTGGAACTCTCAAAAAGATCTGTAAGAGGAAGGAAAGATGAAGAAACAAGAGAAAAAAGGAGCAAAAACAACAGGCCAAAAGTTTGGTTCTTTTCTTTATGCTCAAGGGATAATACTGATGCTGAGAATGTTAATGCAACCAATGCTCCATCACTTGGCCACTTCCTCGCGGTGGAAAGAAGAGCTGCCGTTGAATATAGAAGGAACCAGAATCCTGCTACTGTCTATGGCCCTGATGAGCTTGCCCTGGCTCAACCTAATTTAGAATCAAACTCCCTATTTGTTAATGGCTGCGTTGCCCCTCCTCGATCAAGTTCTTGTCATGGTCCAGATGCTGAGAATGGAAAGAATGATGGTAACAGTTACGGAGTTCCAGTGCTGCTTTCATGCGTGTGTGGACAACCCTCCATCTAAGCATGTCTTGCATCTAAATCTTTGGTCTCGTATTTTCTTATTAAATTTCGTATGCTTTAGAAGGAATAATCTTCTTTCCTTTGTGATTTCTTACTGATTTTTTTTCCTTTTCTTCAGTTTCAAATGAGAAATGGAATCACTCTTTCCCTGGTTGAGTTCCTTGAATCTTGGCATTGAAACATGTAGTAGCAGTTAATTACTTGGTAATGGTTATTTTAAGCAGGCAGGCCAACAGTATCCTTGGCTAGGGCCTAGCCCCAAGGCCCATATAATTCACTATAAATAAAAAAATACAATAAAAAATAAAAATAATACGATTTAAAATTTTATAAAAATTAAAAAATATATTTCATATATAAAATATTAATAAAAATTATAATACGATAATTTTTATATTATATATATATTAAATTATACATACATAAAATTATTAGGTCTAAATACCAATCTTGATTAGTTTACTTAGAAAACCAAATATTTCAATCCTGACGTGCCCAAATAAAAAAAATTTTTTTCTTGAAAGCGTGTCGGTGAAAATTTTTTCCAGCCCCAAATACTAACTTCACCATAAAGCCAACCCATGATTAACGTAGGAAAATGAAATAGTCAAACAGTCAATTAGAAAAGAGATTAATTTGGCTTTTTCTAGATTTTTTTTAAATGATATTTTTACGCGTGATTTCATGTTTTCCAATCTCTAGAAAGCATGACAATCTCCCAAAATTCTTGTGAATTTCCAAACCCTCTTTTTTTTTATTAGGATTCAGATTACCAAAAAGTTTGACTTTTAATTTGATATCTAAATGTCCCACCGAAAATGACCCTTAGATATTTTCTCTAATGTTTGATATTTTAATAATATTAAGCGGTCAGTCCAAAAAACAACCTGATTTTGATAGAAAATTTCTGGTTCATCTTAGACTGCTTGTGGTTGTAATAGTAATTGCTTTATTAATAAAGTTGAGATGATTCATAATCCAACGAAAATTTTCATGGAAAAATAATTTAACAAAGGAAAAAAAAATGATAAAATTTTGCAAATTGCAAAGATACAGTGAATTATTTGAGCTATACTATGAGATTTTCACTGTTTCCTAATTGCAAACCATTAACAATAAATAAATATCAACATTTCTGAGTTTAATTACGAACTTTTGTTCTAAAATTTGTTTAATAAAGAAAGATTTCGAGATGAAAATATTTACTATTGACATGATATAATTATAAAATTGATTTAAAAATTTATGTGTGCAATGATATAATTATCAAATTAATAAAAAATTTATAATTTTTTATTATAATTTTATAATTATCTAATTATAATAAAAATATAAATAAAAACAAAAATTCATAATTTATAAATATAATTTTTATATAAAATTTGAATGGACTCAATATAAATTTAAATTATGATTAATTAATTCCATGACAACAATTGTAAATTGTATACATCCATAAAATAATAATTCAAAATTCAAAATCTTAAGATTAGGAGTAAATTGAAAGTGATTAAGTTACAAAGAAAATGAAAATGAATATACTATCAACAATAACGTGATGTATTAATAAACTATTAAATTTTAGTAATAATCTTAACTTTCATAAAACTTTTTGAAGGTGCTCGTTAATATCTTACTCATGGGTGTAAATAATATATTAACACTCATAAATTATTCGGATTCGATTCGAATAAAATTTGAATTTGGTTCGATTATTATTAAGTTGAGTTCGAGCTCAAGTAATTCGACTCATCGATTGAGATGAGTTCAAATATTTTTATACTCAACTCGAATAGCTCGCGAGTCTAATCAAATTTTTATATTTTATATTTTTTATTATTTTAATTAATAAAATATCTCGAATTCAAGCACAAATAATCGAGCTCTTGTTGAGTATAAGAATTGAGTTTATTTTTATATATTTTCACGCTTAATTAAGTAAGTTCGAGTAGTTTGAATTCGATAAAAAATCGAATTCAAGCTAAAAAAATAAAATTCGATCGAATTTGAATCTCGTATCGAATGATGAGTTGAGAGTCAAACTCAAATTTCTCATTGTATCGACTTGACACGGTTCAATTATACCCCTAATCTTAATAACATAAATGCCACGCGTATGAAAAAGTACATCATGAATGATACGCGAAATAAAAATTAAATATAAAAAAAAAATTTTTAAAAGAAAGATAAATATCTATAATAAATTATTGAATAATGATTGAAATTGACTGTTCTTTGTTAAAAGAAACCAGGGATTAAACAATTACCATCATTTTAAGATTTTCGGACTGTGAATTTTTTTACAATTTGAATCTTTATTAAGTCTATATTCTCTCGTCAAATCACGTGATTAATGATTTTAAAAGTAAAATTTATTTTTAATAAAGAAAATAAGTTAAAAAATATTAAATAACGGAACATTGAAATCAAAATACAAAAACAAAAACAATAATCTAAAGAGTCAATGAAAATTAAGAAGCGAAAACAGGCAGTAGACAGAGTCAAAGCCGGACTGAAAGGGAAAACTCAGTCAAATAACGCGTGGACGTCAGGATTTAAAAAAAAAAAAAAAGGGAATTGGCTGAATGTAGCCATGGCATACCATTCCCATCACTATGCATCATCACTCACCATTCATAAGAAACCAGTTGGTACGTGGCACATGTCCTATATCTGTGCAACTTTACGTTACCAAAACAAATGAAAGAAACAACATATTTGTTTCAACTTACATGTAAGAAGCCAAAAGACCAACCAAAATGGACCCTACTCTTGCTAAAAATAATAGGTGTCCCTCCCAATTGATTTGTCTTTTCTTTCACTCATTGGCCGTACTAATCTATTTCTATCTACTTAAATTTTCACATGTCACCCTCGCTTTTCCTTATATTAAAATTCATTGATGGTATTTTATATTATGATTATTATATTTACTTGAAAAATAATAATTTTAATAAACAAAATATTATATAATTAATACTCCTACATCTTAATACGAAATAAATATGGTATAAAAATATAAATTCATACTTTAATTATGTATAAATTAATGCAATAAGTTAATTAAGAAATGGAGACATGATTACATGACAACCAACATCCAAATATGATTTCCTTATTTACACCTTATTAAGAAATTTGGTTCATACATTATACATAAATAGGAAAAAAAAAAGAAAATATATATTGCATCTCAATCAACACTATTTTTTCAAAAGAGGATATGGGGCTTTGGTAGGGTCAAGACCCAACTCAAGACAATTATATCCTTTGACTCTTTCCAAGGGGGGTGCTTTAACAAATTTTTGGAGCAGCCATTGAGGAATCTTGAAATTTACCTCTTGCAAAAAGAAAAGAATTTCTTTTTTTTTTTTAATACTAATTCAGACATCTAACAGACCCCGAAGAAGACCAATGCTACTTCTCAATCTCAAGTAAACAAAGATTACAACAACATGACCCTACACAGCTATTATCAAACTTACCAACCCATACCTGCAACTCACTTCTTAGCTTATTTTCCGTCAAAATCTACATAGCAAATGGACCTCACCTCTACCTATGTATACCAAATGGGTCCAGCCCTAACCATGATTGCTTGATTTTTTTCTGCCCCTTGTTTTTTTCTTCCGTTGTGTGAAAGGAATGTCCTTGATCGACAGCTTGAAACTTTTACTGAGCAAGTGCAGCCGAAGTGCGCAGTTTCAAGGCTTATCAATCGATTCATTTTCTGCAGCAACCCTTCCTGAGCCACGGCCACCCATCTTGCTAAATGAACCAACTGCAGATAAGCTCTTGAAGCTGCTACTTCCCTCACTGAAATTCCTTGACTTTCTCAATTTTCTCAGCTTTGGGGAACTAACGTCGGTAATGTCATGATCAGCATCATCATAACTTTTGATCTTGGCAACCACCAATTGGACAATGGTGCTCCGGCAAAAGGGGCATACTGGGGGTGTTAGACTCGCAGTTGTGGGGTTTGGCTTGTTGTGGCAGCACAAGGCCAGTGTGCATTGTGCGCACATCTGGTGGCCACAGTCTTGAACTTCAATCGTGCATATCTGCTCAAAGCATATGCAGCATACTTCGGTATCGCTAGTCTGCATCAAACAATTCCCCAGGCAATATATCAGTTCCATTATTGCTAACTGTCAACCATTATAAATAGTTCATATACTAAAAGAAAATATGGCCCTTCACAATTTATTCACATATAGTAGCCAACTGCTAAACAGTATGGTCAATGCAAAAATGGATTATGGAGACTTAAATATAGGTTTTAGACCTTGCTAAAGTAAAAAAGTTTATGCTATAAATTTCTAGAGCATGAAACTCAAGACTTTGTTTCACATATCATATAGATCCTGCAACAGAACTAATATTGATTCCTGGACCACACTTGAAAACTAGGGTCAGGGGCAAGTCTATACATTTACTCACAAAGAAAGCCAGACTGCCATCAGAATTAAAACCATTGATGATGGTACTAGTTTAGTAGATAGGATATCAAGCAAAGACAAAATGGTTTAAGTTTATACACTAATTAGGTTTTAATAAACATTGAATAAAGACTCATGGTCCAAGTCTTGAGTAAAGATAAAGGAAAAAAGAACACTTTTAAGTTTGAATACTGTTGTTCAAATTAGATAATTCAGAGTTAAAGAAACTAACTTTGAACGGAAACCAAGTTAGTTAAGCTAAGGATAGATATTGAACGTATGGCTCCGGGTCTGAAATATTCAACTACTGCCCCCAGGAATTTTCTCAACAATGGGATTTTAATTTTAGTGAACTGGATTTGGTTAATATTAAAAAAAAAAAAAGAAAAAGCAAACAAAGTATTCTAAGGAAGGCATCTGGTATTGTACCTCGGAAATACTATCTAACCCAGAATCAGAACGTGAGGGTGAGGGTGAGGGTGATGGAAGTGAGAAAGCTGTTCCCTTCAGGATGTTCCTTTCCCTTTCCCTGTTTGCCTCCATTAAAGCCTGTTCTAATAGTGATTTTGCCTCCTCATTAAGCTCACTTATGAACTTTAAAGGTGCTGGCCAGACAAGAGGTTCTGCTGATGAAGGATTTAGCAGAGCTGCACAATCTCCATGTTTGTGCTTTAGAGCAACTACATATGGTATTCTCCTGTAACGGTTTGAACATAACAAAAGGAAGCCTTAACAAAAGTAATTATAAGCCAAAAGAAAAATATATTTATAATGACAAATTTTACAGCCAAAATAACTAGACATTTTCACGCATGGTAAGAAAAAATGAGTGAATAAAGCATCAAGGCCTGGGAATAGACTCCTACCAGCTTACATAAGACCATATAGGACAAATAGATTGACTAGAATATTAACTCAAGAATCTCTTGAAAGGCTTTCATTTGAAACATCAAGAACAAAAGATCTTTGACAAGATAATAATTTAGACATCCATAGAAATATAATAAAATTAAACTATACCCAGATGCATCTCTTTGAAGACGATCTGCACCCCATGCCAACAATTTGCGGATGCAATCAAGAGATCCCCCTCTAGCAGCCAAATGAAGAGGAGTGCTTCCTGGACAACTGAAAAAAAAAACAAGTTTTCAATCATTTTATCCATCTGTAAAAGACTAAAACAAAAAATCAATTATGATCAATAACTTCAAAAGAAATATTACCCATATCCACCGGTTGAAGCACAAACAAGAGCACCATTGTCTAACAGGATATGTACGCATTCAGGCCGCCTTTGACGGGCTGCTAAGTGCAAGGGAGTGGCTCCCCTAGCGTCTCTTATATTCACAAACCGTGCATATCCCCTGATATCAAATCCCATCCAAAAATATAAGATTAACTAGAAACTGAGATCAATCACCAAAATTAATCCAAATAGATTATGAAAGAAAAAAAGAAATGTCAAACAAGCTTGAGAGAGAAAAGAAAACCCACCATGAAACAGCAACAGGGCTAGATTGAGCAGCAGAGAGGATGGCTTGAAGGCAGTCGGAGTGACCATAATAGGCTGCATAGTGCAAGCAAGTTCTTCCATGGAGGGAATCAAACTTTAAGATCTGAAAAGCATATATCAGGTCATTCAAATCAAATTATATTTCCAATACACATAATAAATGGATTAAATTGTAACTTTAACAAAAATGGCTCACATTTGCCCCAGCTTCAATGAGCTTCTTCACGCAGGAAATCTTCCCATGCATTGCAGCCAACATAAGTGGAGTCTAAAAACATTGAAAGGAAACAAAATCAAAACTAATTCAAGAAAATATATAACCAAAAAATTCAAAACTTTTAAAAATAAAAAATTACCTGCTTGTGACGATTCAGCGCATCCGGGTTCATGGATTTCTCCAAAAGCATACTCAAAATCTACCAAAAAAAAAAAACCATCTTGACATCAAGGGAATGAAACCAAATACGGATTCAACAACCCAAAACCAAGGTAAATGAAGTTAAAAAGAACAAAACTTAATCCAAAAAGTCATCTTCCAAAACCTCCACAGAGACAACCCACCTCGATCTTGCCATTAGCAGCAGCAATATGAAGAGCAGAGTGGCGGTCATAAACAGTTGTATGATGTAAAAGATGGGGTTCTGTTTTTAGAAAAACTTCCACAGTTTGAAAGTCTCCAACTTGAACTGCACTAAACAATCCATTCTCTTGACTCGCCCCACAACTCAGCCCCTGACCCATCTTTCAGGAGGACAAAAGGCTTTACACTTTCTTCAACCTTTCACCGCCGGTTGTCGGGGAGGGCCTCCGGTGTGGCGGTGGCGGGTGGTGTGGTTATGGGAGGCAAGCCTGCCCTCGTTCTCTCTCTCTCTCTCTCTCTCTCAACTTGCAAAAAGTTTACATTTAAGTAGTTGCCTTTCAAAAGCGAGTGACGAAAAAAATGAAAATTATTTTATTTTATTTTTTAGTTTTTCCGTTTTAAGTGTGTCGGAGTTTGTAGCTGCCCGAAGACAGAAGTGGGAGCTGCCCGTATCAATTTCCGGGCCGCGGTTCAGGTAGTTGTCAGATATTTGTATTTCGGGGCAAATTAGATTCCTGTAAAAAAATCCAACGGGAAGATCTCAGCCGTTGATTAGTTCCATAAGTGGACATTAGACGTACGATTGAAAAGGGTGAAATGGAGAGGATAAAGTGGTTAAAACGGATTCAGCCAATAAAATTGCAGCGTGCTAATTAGAGTTAAGGTTGTTTTACCTAAAATACCCTTTTGTAATTTTTATTTTGACTTTTATTTGCTGTTACTTTGGTCCACCGGTCAAAACAGGCCAATCTTTTACCAAAGACATTGACATTGTCTTAAGACAAAAGATGCGGCGTCGCTTCACCCGCGGAAACATCTTTCTTTGTTTCACCTTTTCTATTATACCATTCCTTTCCCCTAATTGGCTAATTTACTTTATTAAAGAATCATATTGCTTTATTGCTCCTTTTTTTTTTTTTTTTTTTTTTAGATAAGGAGGCAAACTTAAGTTTGTGCACGGAGATGACTCATAATTAATAATAAAAAATTATACTGTAGTTTTATAAATAAAAATAACTTATTTTATCAAAATTTTAAAATAAATAATATCTTATATTTAACGTAATTCAATAATATTTCATCAATAATAATAATGTCAGTAAAAAATCAACTATTACTTATCGAACACATAATCCACATAATTGATTAGATGAGAAAAACAATCTCCATTTAATAATCAATACTTTAAATATGATTTATAAGTAAGAGCAACATTTTTCCTATTAATGCATTTTTTCTCAAAGCACAATATCTCACAACGGATACAATTTAATAATTTTTTTCATCAAAGACTGTATTTGATCCATTGCATCAACGAAATTTACTATAAATGGCGAAAACTTTTCTCATCTTGTAATCTTATTAATTTTTTAGTTTTATTTTTAAATTTTAAAATTCTTTATAGTTAGTGTATAATATCTCAAAAAAATTATTAGTTTTTGAAAAACTGAAGGAGAGTAAAATTTTAAAAAAATTATATAGTACTTTCTATGAAAAAAAAAAAAAACTTCATTAGTTAATTTATATGTTTGTTATACATATAATATTTAACTATAATTCTAAAAATGAAAAGGTTACACTAAAGTTTATGAAATTAATATGTTTGGTGAAATAGATATGTGACAAAAAAAAAGTAAATTTGTTTATAGTAAATTAAAGTTTTAAACTCCATTAGCCACATGTGGTGAAAATGATGAGTTGCATCAACAGGCTTGAACAACTTGACTGGATTATAGATCATGATCTAAGTATTTTCTATATTTTAAATGGAATAACAATTCTTTTTTATTTTTAATGTTGTGTAAAGTCTAATTTCTTTAAAAGGAAAAAGACAATTATGTTCGTTCATGCATATTTGCATAATTTAAGCATTCTTTTCCACCTAAAAAGCAAAAGTGGTCTAAAGAAAACATTCCAAGGAAGGGATTTTTTTTTCCTTCCTTTGAATATTTCATATGAAAGAGTTGTAAAAGAACAAACAATGTCGTATCATATCAATGTCGGAAGTAACATAATTTAACTGTGTTTATAAGAGAGAAAATCCGATTATAGTTATAATTAAAGCCATTTTCTTTAAACAAATATTTCTTGTAAGACTTCAACCTCTTTTAACCAACATTTGGATCCTTGGGGTGATGTCAAAGGTTAAGCAAAGTATTAATTATGGATTGATCAAGCATTTTGGATTAATCTCAACCACACTTCTTAATTAATTAGCTCTTTAATATCTTAAAGACATCTTCTTTTCATTATTGCTGAAGCAAAGTATTAATTATCGATTGATCAAGCATATATGATTAATCTCAACCACACTTCTTAATTAATTAACTCTTTTATATCACAAAGACATCTCTTTCTTTCCATTATTTACGTTGGTTTATGTTATCACCCAAAGGTGATATTTAATGAGAATGAAATTTTAACACTTATAACATATGTTACGATCTTTTTTTTGTTAAAAAAAAAAAAAAAACAAGTTTCAAGTATTTCTAATCTATAGACACAAATATTATGGATCGAGATATTATCATTCACTAATTTATAAAATCTTGTCATAAATTGTGAATTTTATACAATATAAGGCTCTATTTGGTTTGAGAAAATGTTTTTTGTTTTTATTTTTTTTTATTTTATAAAAAATAATTTTAATTTTATATTTTTTGTTTTCTAAAAAATCTATTTGATAAACGAAAATAAAATTTATTTTCTAAAAATGAAAAAAAAAATAAATATTCAATGATATTATTATTAATGTCATCTAACTATAAAGATAATATATATTTATTAATTAATGACATTAAAAAGTGTTTAAATATGGTAACTTACAAAATATAAAGAAAAAAGTAACGTACATTCTTTGTGTTCATAATTGAAAACATTTTTTTTATTTTCATATTTCAACCCATTTTCATTTTCAATTACAAAATACATTTTCATTCATATTTTTTAATTTTAAAAAAATGAAAATAAAAAATGATTTTGTTATCTGAAACCAAACACTACTTAAGAATTTGAGTTACAATATAGAAATAATAACATCGATCTCGTCTTGTTTTATATGCTATTCAAACATATATGACATTTATGCAAAACTTTAATCCATATATATTTAAGAAAGTCTTTGATCTTGAAATGGATCTAAAATATAGTTTGACATTGTTTGTTTGTTCTCCGTGAAATGTAAAATAAAACCTAGAAACATAATTTTGTCCTATATCATTGGACAGGTACATAATTACAGCTCATTTTTTACCCATTATTTCAGATCTTAAACCAAAACGATATCCAATAATTTGTAATTCTTCAATGTCCTGATGCTGCACTGTGGAGCAGCCCTAGTTTTCCAAAAAGATTTTGTCTGGGCTTAGAGATATGGACGCAACTGCATGCATGGAACATGCTGAACTATCATCTGCACATGTTCTCACGACAAAACGATAACAAAAATGAGACAAACAGGAGTGCAAATTACAAGGTGAAGCGGGTAATAATATAACGAAGGAAAGAAAAGTTTAGTTCCCCGTGACCCTGTAAAAAATGTTCATTCAAAAACATCAAAGACATATAAATGGAAGTCGTCAAACCTTGTAACGTGCAATGTCTTGCCAATAAGGGTTGGTGTAAGTGATTAAGATTTAGAATCTGAATGGAAAATATCCAGTTTTAAATTTTTACGATTTTTTATTTGTATACGATATGTAAATTTAAAAAATGTTAAAGAATTCGTTAATTTTTTGTAAGTTAGCGGCTTGTCTTTACTTTGAAAATAGGACAATCTTCCCTTCTCTTAATTTTTTCGGATAAAAAAAAATTCTTCAATGCCTTTTCTTACAAGTAAGTTGTGGCTGGTTTACTTGAGATTTGAGAATCCTGTAAATGCCAAGAACATAATAAATAAGTGCTCAACAACCTCTTAGCTTCTTTTTTTTTTTTTTTGGTTCCTTTAAATGTCAAGTGCCTTTTGAGAAGCCTCCAAAACGGTTTTGTCGGTTTTAAAATCACTTTGAAAATGTTGTATAATTTGTTGGCAACCTGTATTTTAATTAATGTTTAAGTTTTGACTTTTGTGGATGGAATTGATTGATGAATGAAGGGATGAGATCGAGAATCTAATAATTGCTTATTCAATTTTAAATTTATAAGTAATTCTTTGAACAAATTTAAAAAAAAAGTAAAAGACATTTATATATAATTAAATTAATAAATAACATGGGTGATCAATTCTATATAACTAACTTGGCTTGATTTTGAAGGATACTAATCTGGCATGTAAGAATATTATATTTGAACAAACTTAGAAAAAGGAAAAGATATTTAATATATATATATATATTATATAACAACATACATAAAAAAATTTATCATATAGACGTTTATATGGATAACTCTCTTAAATGATATATAAAATAGTTTTTTAAAAAATAAGATAATTTTTTTTAATTATAAATTAGATAGTTTTAAATTTATTCAAATTATAATTGAAAATCAAATCAATTTAGAGATATATATTCTGAAATTAAAAATATGAAATATGGATTTTATTTTTTTAATAAATAATTTTAGTTGTTTACCAAATAATTTTTATTTAAAAAATTATTTAATTATCAAAATCTTTCAAATATGTTTAAAAATTATAAAGATTAAGTTTATCCAAATATTTTAACAATCTTTTTTATCTTGATTTAAAAAATTATCTTTTTAAAAATTTTACGTAAGATATTAAAAATTCAAGTAATTTTATGTAAGATTTTAAGAATTAAAAAAAATTTCATCTTAAATCTTTAAATAATAAGATTATCAAAATGATTATATCTATTTGAACTCTAATTATCAAATTTATATTTCAAATAAATGCAAAAAATTTAATATTTTCTTTATCACTTATTATATCTATTTTAAATTTTAAAAAATATCTATTTAATCTTAATTGTCACTAAAAAATTATTTTATAAATTTAAGACTACAAATGTAATGGGTTATACATCAATTTTTTTACTTTTTCAATTTTTTTTTAAAGGTGCATTCTATTACTATTGCAATTTATTTATTTTTAATAAATTTTCCTAAGATATATTTTATTGTTATTACAGTTTCATTCTTAAGAAAAATATTTTTTTAATTTGTTTTTTTCACATATTTTCTAACATTTTTCATATTTTGTATAATAATTTAGTCAAGACTACTAAAGTGAAAGTGTGTTAATACTTCATTTATTATTTAATTTATCATTCAATAATATATATCTTTTTAAAAGAGATAATTTATTTTTATTTGATATAATTTTATAGGTGTATAATATTATTGCAAACAAAAATATCCAAAGAAAATACATAAATTTTTTTACTATTTTCAGAAAGTTTATTTTTTAATGACAAGTCAATATATATAAATTTTATATATGTTATGAGTTTTAAAGATTTGAATATAATTTTGAAAATAAACTAATTTGTATATATATATTTATATTAAATAAATAAAATTATTTGTATCGCATGAGTTATAATCTAGTTTATATATAATTAAATTAATAAATAATATGGGTGATCAATTCCATATAATTAACTTGGCTTGATTGTGAAGGATCCTAATCTGGCATCTAAGAATATTGGATGAGGAGGTGATATTATATTTGATAGGTAGGTTATGTATCACCAGAGAAAAAACAAGAGAATTTTTAATTTAATTTAATTATTTTATATAATTATTTTTAAAAATGATAATCAATCAATATGTGGTTCAAATTTTAACACCGATTTTTATTTTCATATTACGATATCGGTTACACAAAAAATAATAAAAAAATTATAAATGCATTTAAAATTAAGCAAATCTTTTTTTCACATTTTAATTAAAAGCATAAACCTTGATGAACTAAAAATCTTTTTTTTCCTTCATTTGTTATTCAATAATCACTGGAGACATTTGTTATTTACTTGTTATTCAATCCTTCTAAGTGGAGAGTATTAATTTTAATTCATAGGATTAAATTTATATCTTTTATTTTACTCTTAAAAATTACATTAATGATTTAAATTGTATATATTTTGAGGAAAGATAATTTTGATCAATAAATAAATTATCATATTTTAATCTTTCATATATCAAATACATGATAGTATGATATTATTTAATCTATTGATAATCATAATATTATTTTATCCCATCCTCTTATAATTTTATATACCAAACGCCCCTTAAATGTGAAAAACTTTTTTTAAAATAATATTTAAAGTAAGTATATGCATTAACTTAAATCAAGCTAAATGCTTAGTATAATTAAGGAAACAAAATGTCGGTGCCACCAATTTATAAAACATTTTATTACTATACCTAATGATGATAAATTAAATTGCATTATGAAGGATTTAGCCATTAGAGGGGACGACCAAAGACTAAGGCAAGCAAAGGCACATGCATGCTAGGTGAGGTGGGCAAAGGTCCATAAATTTGGAAAATTAAAAATATTAAACATCATTATGAAAGCATGCATCGATCATAAATTTGGGGGATGCCCCTTCAGTCTGCCGCTCACTACGCCAAAATTCACCAAAAACCCATGACAGAAATCATTAGGCAGATCATGGATCTTCCTCGGCTAGTGAAATGTCAATGGATTGATTGATCAATAGTTTTTTTTTTCTTGCATGATTTTATGGGAAAAAGACAGCCAATCACTTTCCTCTTATCATAGTGATTTTGATTCTAAAACTTTTTTTTTTTTACAAAAGAGAAAAAAGAATGTAATGCTGAAGCTAATAGTCATGAAGCCTACTCCTTGATTATAGCTCAAGTGAACAAAAGTAGAAAAAAAGTAGTTAGGAATTATAGATCTAATGGAGCTTTTCTACCTATTTAACTGTTTTTACAATTTTTCCTTACAGTCTCTGAGAATGTTTGATGCATTCATGAAAAACAAATGCAACTGTCCATGTATTTCTTTTCAAGTTAAGATTGAAATAATTGTGCAAAAAAGCTTGAAGAGAAGAACCCAAAAGAAGTCATATTTTTTCACTGTTTTGGTGGGTTCCATAATTTGGAATCCCTATGATCATGCACTGATGATATATGTATATCCAAGATAGAAGTCTCAAAATGAGGACCCAAAGCTATCTTTTGGGACCTTGCAATTTCTCTCTTGACTCGACATCATCAACTGCAAATGTTTATGGCTATTCCCCAATAATATCAGTCAAAAGAATATGAATATGCTGTAGCTTATCTCTAAAGAACCAATGCTACCCCATCCCCCCATAACTAATGGTTCACAACTCACAGAGATTGCTTACTAGAACCATATACAGATCATTTTTATTCCATCTAGCTCGTTTATGCAGATCCATGATCATTTATGCTTCAAAAAATCACCAATGATTCCCTTTGCAAAAGTGCCTTTACCAAGTTCAACAGGATTTCTAGCTAGCTTAACCTACAATATTAGAAAATTTGACATTTTAGGATTTTAGAACCGCCAAAAGAATTCTTAGATTGTAACAACTTAGATTTCTTGAAATTATTCTTGTTTTTTATTTTGGGTGTGTGTGTACAAAGTTTGATGTTTGAAAGATGTGCTGGGCCTGAGAAGGATGATAGAGGGATGGTGACATTTTGCCTACCATCTGGGAAGATAAGACAAATACATTTAAATGATTTTTACATGTACAATCAAAGAAAATACCTAATACCAGTAGTAATTTACGGGTATATGTATTAGCCAAAGAGACCACTCAACTTAAACTTTGGGTAAAAAGTAATTTGATTAACGATTGAATATAGAAATTTCGGCCTACAGTATGGAACACATGTAACAGAGAAGGGAAACATGTCAAACTGCCAATGGCGGCTATCAAGCATGTCAAACTACCCATATGACTTTCCTGATAGAATCCTTTGGACGTAAATTTCTAAATAACTGCAGATTTTGCTTCAGGAACCTTTTTTTTTTGTTGATTTCAATGGATTCTTTCCACCTAAAAATCAATGATTCATCAGGGAGTCCATTGCCTGAGTGAATGGTTTCTTCCAGCAAGAGTTCCTTTTTCCCCATGTAGGAAAAAGACTAATGACAGAGATTGATTAATCTTTGATTATCAGCTTAGGAAAATCTAAGAGCATTATTAACAGATTTCAATAAATAAATACTGGGACATGATCCGCAACCTGTTGAAGATCCCATGTTGCTGCAACATATAAGCTTACAAGACAAGTTGCAAAGATTTTCGGGAATCTTTGGGCTAGATTCCATGTTCCTGTGGTTTAAGCTATTCAATTTCATTGGTTGAGAATATACTAAAGCCAAATTAACATGATCAAAGAGAAAGATGATTAGAGTGTCAAGTTGCAGCTTTTACAGGAAAACCATGAATTTGAAAACCAAGTCCAACAATTCAGAATATAAAAATTGAAGTAATTTTCTTGGTATCTATGACTTGTACGACACTGGATGGGCCAGCATAACCAACACCAGTGGGATCTTATACAGTTATAAGCATCAATCAAGAGGATTCCAAATTTGAAGAGCAAAGAATTTAGTTTTGTTGTTGTTTGGTCAGCTGAATCATGTTAAGAAGTTTGTTTCGTGAACGATTAAGCATCCTTTGGCTGAATTTTATTATTGATTTTCATTTGTTTCACAGTCACATTAGTGTTTTGGATTTGACTTTTAACATATTTTTCTTCTAACTTTTCCAAAATAGACGCTGTTGTTGGTGTTTTTTTTTTATTTTTAGAACGGCTTTACTTTGAAAAGACAGCAGCAACGAAAAGCATGGTTTTTGTTTTGTCTTAGGAAGCTGTGTAAACCTAATACTCTGATCGGAGAAAGGAGAAAAGAGACAGGTTGTTGGTTTACTGCTTTGGTGAAGAGCAATTTCCTTTTCTTTATTGAAAGGAAGGCAGGGAGGAGACCGATTGAAAGAAATTTCATTTTCTTCTTTGATGACTGAAGTATTGGGCTAATGGCTTTAAAGTGGAAAAAACTAGAATCAGTGAGTAGAGTTGAATGGGATTGAGGCCTAATATTCTAATCCAAAATTCTAACTTAAACTCTTTGAACCCAGCCTATTGGGTGCCTTTGGGCTGCTCTCTTCCCAATGTGTTTGGATTTTGAGCCACCCAACAACCCAGTAAGGTCCAAAAAGGAAAGAAAATTAAGAATTTAACTTGTAAGGAATTTAGCATTTAATACATTATTATTTTAAAATTTTAATTACATAAGTAGAATTAAGATATTGACATGTATTTTATTTATTTTGTAATTAATTTTTTTATTTTTTTAAATATAAGAGATATGTATCACTTTATTAATCTTTTTTGTAAAATCTAAAAACTTTATTTACAGTGGATAAAATAATTTATTAAAATTAATTATTTTTTATACACTATTAATGTAATCTTTTAATTTCATAAACATATCAAGAGATTAATATATATCTCATTTTTTAATTAATTTTTTTATATATTCTGTTAATTTTGTTTGTGAAATCTAAAAATTGCATTATCTCTACTTTTAATAGTACCCGATTTTCTACGTCAAAGTTTAACGAAGCTTGTAGAATATCATGGAAAAAGAATATAAATATATCCAATCATATCTATTAAAGAACATTTAATTCAAGGAATGAATAATACAATTGGAGAAAGGGCAACGAAGGTACCAGAACGCTCTTGCAACTACTAAACTACTATTATTTTCACTTGACATATCAAAACTAGAACCCTCTTTCACTTTGAATCACTTCTATATATAGCATTCTGATCACAACCAAATTCCATCGAGGAAATATACATTTGAAGCTTGAAAATCTTTCTTTGCTTACTCTGTAGACATTTCTTTACTTTTCTTTTTTGGTGTTAATCTTTGTTCATAGTTTTGCAGGCATGTCACTCATTCCTAGTCTTCTTGGTGGTCGAAGAACCAATGTCTTTGATCCATTTTCTCTTGATGTGTGGGATCCTTTTGATGGGTTCTTCAACTCTGCATTGTCGATCAGTGTGCCATCTTCAGCACATGAGACTTCAGCCTTTGCTAATGCAAGGATTGATTGGAAGGAAACACCAGGAGCTCACGTTTTCAAAGCTGACCTTCCGGGGCTGAAGAAAGAGGAGGTGAAAGTTGAGGTTGAAGAAGGGAGGATTCTTCAGATAAGTGGGGAGAGGAGCAAAGAGCAAGAAGAGAAGAATGACAAGTGGCATCGCATCGAGAGAAGCGGTGGGAAGTTCCTGAGGAGGTTTAGGTTGCCTGAGGATGCAAAGATGGATCAGATTAAGGCTAGCATGGAAAATGGTGTCTTAACCTTGACTGTCCCCAAGGAGGAGGAGAAGAAACCTGAGGTTAAGGCCATTGAGATTTCGGGCTAATCGACATGGTTTACACATTTTAAGTTTCAAGAGCCTCGATTATGGAACAATAAGCAAATGGTTTTAGTATTTGTTTATGTGTGAAGTCTTCCAATGTCTTCCTTATGTTTTTTACTAAAAATAAAAAATGATGTAAAAGTGTGAGACAGTTTTTAACTTTTGAATAAATAAGTGCTTGTTGGAATCTGTTCAAACGAGTTTTCTTGTGATGTTATAGCTATCTACTTCTTAAATTTGTTTATAGATCCTACTTTTGCAGTGACACTAGTTTTACTCACCCTGCCCGCGGGGTGGTGACAGCAGAGAAATTAAGTAGCGATCTTTCATCAGCTCTTTTTCTTGGCTTGTTGATCTATAGCCAGGGTGCTGGTGCGAGCTTTTGCCAATGCAAGGGTTGATTGGAAAGAGACCCCGGAGGCACGTCTTTAGAGCTGACCTTCCAGGGCTGAAGAAAGAGAGATGAAAGTTACGGTCCAGGAAGGTAGGATACTTCAGATAAGCCGGGAGAGGAGCAAAGAGCAAGAAGAGAAGAATGACAAAGAGGCATCACGTTGAGAGGAGCAGTGGCAAGTTCATGAGGAGGTTCAGGTTGCCTGAAAATGCAAAGTTGGATCAGGTTAAGGCTAGCATGGAAAAGATTGATGCTTTGGTACTTTTGAAATACAGTACATATGAAGGAACAAATGTCTGGTTTTGTTTTTGTGTTGTTTTTGGGTTGGTAATGGCCTAATGGGTTAAATACAAACTGTGAAACCCTTGTCATTAAATCGAAATAATTGAGTATTTTATTGTCAATTTTACAGAATCATCTTTTTTTATATCATGGAAAAGAAAACACAGCCTATGAATGTTGCCAATTATACACCAGATTAGTTAAACTTAAGCTGGGCATATTCCACAGGATGTATAAAAATTATCAGTAATTTATGATTTAAGTTCACTCGGAAAAAGAAGAAAAGCGAAAAGAAATACAAGAACATAGATTATGCTAAAACATCGAGACAAGGATTTGTTTGAATTAACTGTTCTGTGAACAAAACAAATACAATTACATAGATAATAGAAATGATACCTCAAGGAAAATGCTTCAGCTTCTGCATTGTTCATGTGATCAAAAGGGCAGCCTTGAACATTTAACTAAGCTAGGTCCTTCAGTTGGATAGACACCCAAGCATGTAGTCCATAGATTCATATCAAGCATCCATATCCTCTAATTGGGTGATGATTGTAACGTGTGAAATATGAAATGCAGGTAAATGCACGCCTCATGTAGAACCATTGGATATTGCAGCACCAATCTTAGCTGTTAAAGGGGAAAAGGTTGGGCGAGCTGACAATAATTTTGGGTTGATAGATAAACAGGATCAAGGTCATTTCCGGCTTAGTCATGGCCAGATTCAACCACAAAAAGTTAAGCAAGGTATCACCAGATCTGACCACAACAAGCTATATCTGATAAGGCTATTGCCTGAACCGGCCACAAAAAGCCAGGCCATGGTCGGAGACTGCCTCTTCTGCCACAACAGGCCGAATATGACTATATGTCTTGGCCAACTTATCTTAAAAGGCCGTTTTGGCTGTTGATGATAACCGCCAATAGCCTAGCTATTGCAGGCAACTTCACCTTCACCTATTCACTCTCAAAAACTCAAAAAAGGAATGATAAAGGGTAAAATAGTAGTTCAAGTTTCCTCATTAATTATAAAAATCCTCATTTCCTCTGTTTTTTTGGCCAATATCCTCATTTCTTCTTTAATAACTATTCTCTCTCATGGTATAACTGTAATAATTTTCTCTCCATTCCCCCAATTTGTAAATATTCTTGTGATTGCTGGTTACCATTGCCACTTCAGCTTTTTCCTATCAATGACCAAGATTAGAGTCACAATATCTAACAGCAATATAGGAGTCACACACCTAATGTTTCGCACGCTATAATCATCACCCTCTAATTGATCTCTAAAGGTATGTGCTGCCCAACTAAATATCGAAACTTTGCACCCGCACACAAGGACCGTCCCCAAAGACAAAACTGCCGTGAAGCATGAGAGAGACAAAACAATTAAGGAATGCTCCAGGAGCAAAATGGGCAGTAACACTTCTATTATTTCATTCCCCCAATTTGTAAATATTCTTGTGATTGCTGGTTACCATTGCCGTTTCAGCTTTTTCCTATCAATGACCAAGATTAGAGTCACAATATCTAACAGCAATATAGGAGTCACGCACCTAATGTTCCGCACACTATAATCATCACCCTCTAATTGATCTCTAAAGGTATGCGCTGCCAAACTAAATATCGAAACTTTGCACCCGCATACAAGGACCGTCCCCAAAGACAAAACTGCCGTGAAGCATGAGAGAGACAAAACAATTAAGGAATGCTCCAGGAGCAAGATGGACAGTAACACTTCTATTATTTCAACGTTAAGAACTCCTTGACATTTTGCAGGATTCCTTTATTATACGGATTTTTAAACCTCATCTCATGATAATTCTCTCCTGGATTTAACCAATTGAACTAAAATTAGAAGGAACAGTATACAATATGGATATCTAAAGATAAGAATTGTTCTACAAATGTATCACCTGGTAAAGATGAAGCATTAAGTTGGAACTCTGGATACTTCTTCCAGTTCACCTGTAGTAAATTAAAAATTAAATGAACAATAGAAATTTACTCTTATAATATATAGTGCAGATTAAACAAATGATTTTTAACAATGTGTACTTGGAAATATATCCAATTTTTTATTTTATCATTGGTCTAGCAGGGGACTTACCCACTCTTCGGTTCTGATATTGAAACATATGCAATAGACATGCCATATAAAAAACAGCCCCTGCGTGGACAGAAAAAGCAGATGTGAATGTTTTAACAAAGAAATAAACATCCTTGGATACAACTATAGGATCAAAAAACAAGCACAATTTTCAAAGTCAAACCAATAAAAACCTGCCATAGCACTTGGAGAAGAGAAAATAGCAATGTGCTTCGTGCCATTATTGAAATGAAGTTAGTCTATACAAAGAACATCCAGAAAAAGGGGAAAAAAATCAATATATAAGCACTTATATATGATGGAAATAAATTGGATAAACCATTCAAGCAATGACTTACCTCCAATCTAATTTCTTCCAAAGCCGGAAATTTTGAGGCAACTGCAAATAAACATGCATTTAAGCAAATAAATAAGTAATAATTATAGTAAAGAAGGCAAAACAAATTCCAATATTTTACAAAGCATTGGAAGACCCAACAAGATTAGTCTCACACATTAAGGTAAAGCATCAGATCATCAAATAATTGCAACACAAGTTACAGATCCAAATGAATCACAGTGTTGTCTTGTAAATCATAATTTACAGCTAGTAGATTAACAATTCAAATACAATTAAGCTTATGCTTACACTGGGATGAGCAAACAACGTAAAAAGTTTCAGTAGTAATAAATCCAACAAGAAGAACCATAAAGAGGACATAATTCTTTTGACCTGCATGATAACATAAAAACATCATCAACCACTTACAAGCATAATATTAGTTCAGAAGAATCTCAGAACCAAAGTGTAATTTGCAAGGGAAGAAAAGATTAAGATGGTATCGACAAATCAAAGGACAAATATAAAAAAGATATTGGCAAACGCAAATTAATTTCTATTACCAATACAGTTTCCAAAAGCAGGGCAATGGTGGTCAAACCCCTGTACATGTGTCTTGCAGCTCTTACAGTATCTTACTCTCATTTGCAAAAGAGAACTCTGAGAGAGAAAGCATCAAAGCACAATTACACCAATAAAATTGCAAGGAAACAACACAAAGTGAAACCCATTAGAGACAATATTTTGAATAAGGTTGACGGGAAACTTTCATATTCTTAGAGTCACAGCTAGAATTCAATAGAGTGAAAATTGCACATTTGAAACAGACTTTACTTCAGGTTTTTACTTGGTGAATTCATCTTGAAACAGTTAAAAATTAGAGACACTTAACCAGTTACTTCAAGGTTTTTGCAGAAATGTGCATTTTACCAAGTTTATGCCAACTTGTAAACGCACATGAACAACAAAAATGTAACTAGACAACCTCATTGTGAGTTTGAACACCAAGAACAGAACTTTCATCAAGTTCATCTGAAGAAAAAGACTCATGTGCCACATAACCCGGATCCTTTAACATGATCCTGCCATTAAGTACAGCATAATTAGCATGTTTCATCAATAAACAACAAAACCTAACAGAACAGGCTTTCCATGTGACCAAGAACATTATAGATGTTGCAATATACAGAAAGAGCAAAGAAGAACAACCTACATAGACCAATGATGAGCATGATCATCTCTCCATTGAACATAATGTCCATAATACACGAAATTGCTGCAATTAAGGAAAAGAATGGGATTTTATAAAACAAGCTAATTGCAATAACTGCTGAAAACAAGTTAGTTTCTTGCATCACAAAACCTTTGTTTCATATAACAATATGATTTCCCCATTCCCATTTTGACATCAAATTATTGAAAATACATAGTAACCAATATTTTGTTAACTACTAATAGGACACAAATATCTTAGTGAGCTAAACTTCATTCAAATATTCAAATGATGAAAACAGATGCTAATCAATTAGGATTATACTTAACGCCAATAGAAATGTCATTTTTTCCCAAAAATGGGTAATGTACAAAAAGTTATCCTGCAATTATATTTAGCTTCAAAAATTAAAGGCAGCAAAGGTACCTTGTCGAACAATAGCAATATAAACACCCCATACAAAAAATATACAGCAGAAAACAAAAGCTGGTGCTGATGCATGGAATCCAAGAAGCCGCCTACACCACCCTCCAAATCCCATGACTACCAACAAAACTAAAGCTGCAAAGAAGAGAAACAGAGTTGTTAAACTACAGAAAATCAAGATTGGAATAGTTTCATATATGTTTTGAGAGAGAATAGGACCTGAGAGTATGAGTTGAATGAGTATCGGAGAGGCTGAGAAGAAGAGAGGAACTAAAAAGAGAGCAAATTGAGTGAGTAAAACGGAGATACATGAAATTGTGCCACGACCAATTAATTTTGACCAAGCTAACATCTTCCTTTGATCTTGATCATGTAGTTGCAGCAGCACCATCTCTTGAAACACGAGATTATTGTCTCAGTTTTCGGGAACCCAAATTCAGTTTTGATAAAAGAGAAAAAAAGGGGAAAACAATAGAAATTACTAGGAACAAGAGTCCAAACTTTTCATTTATGGGGTTTCTATGGCCGCAAGCCTGCAATGGAAACTAGCAGTCCATTTCCATATGCATTGATCCAACAACAGGGTCTCGGCCTAGGAGGCTGCAGCAACCCAAAAGATGAAGCCCTCTATCGTGACTGATGGTGGCTATTGAAAATTGTCCTGAAAGCAGCGTCCGCCGACTTTAGTAGTTAAAATCCCATATATCTTAACAAACTGGCATAGTCAGTAAGTTATGAAATTTGAACCACAAACGTAATTTAGTCAAACCGAACCTGTTTTTTTTTAGCACATCAGCCCAACTTTATTTTCGTGCTTTTAAAACTAACATTCAACTCGTTGACACTATCACTACATTTCATCCACAACATCATACAATGCATTTCCATGATACAAACAGGAAGTTCTTCATGTCCATTTATGATAATTACTTTACATGAAGTTCTTCATTTCACACTAAAATTTATCTGAATCTTTTTTTAAGTATTGGTGCCTTGTTATTTTAAATTTTAAATTTAAATTTTTTTAATTTTTTATTATAAAAATATTTTTATTATTCAATTTTATTTTATGATAATTTGAACAAACAAAAAGGTTTGTCATTCTCTAATGATATAGGTTCCATTCACTATTTATACACAAATATCAGCTACTTGAAATTTTTTTAAAAATTATATTATTTTTTAAATCAATTGAGGTTTATTAAAGATGATACTTCAAAAAATTTATATATATAATATCATCTTCAATAAGATATATAATTAGATAAAAAAATTAAAAAGTAGATTAAAATTTAAAAAAATAAAAAATTAAAAAAAAAACCTGAATAATTAATGTTTCATCCTTTTTATTTTTATTTTTTGTCTCCAATTGCTTTCATGCTTGATCTCTGCTGGTCATCCCTTAATTTAAAAAAACAATTGCCTTGCACGACTTGTTCCTATAAAATACAGAGAAGCATAAAACCTTCTTTTTTCTTTTCATGTTAGTATTATTCATGTCGTGTAAGAATTATGGAAAATTCAAGCAAACAATTGGACCAAATTTCAACTATGGCTGGCTGTTTGGGCTTTGATTAATACGCCAAGAAATTCAATCCCCAAAAAATAAAAAAACCCCGACCTTAAATTAAAAAACCAAACAAAAAACAAAGGCAGACAAAATTGGATAGGCACAAGTTCACGTGTACGACAATTTTTTGCCCAATCAGCAAACAACAGGGTCACCACCTCAGCTGCTGTGCCGTAATGATTTCTCACCATGGGAAGGAAGTTTTCTGAGCTGTCCTTGCGGCGGGTCACGTGCACCTCCGTCACCGTCTCGGGTCCCACCATCCAGTGTGATGTGACCCACGCTGGAACCAACGGTGGATAATTCATAATTGAAAAAGATAAAAAAGATTTGTTTCAGTAGAATTTTTCGTAGGATTCACTGGATCATGGGATTCAAAATGAACGGCTTTTATTCGTTACCAACTCCAAGACCGGATCTTGCCACGTTGGATAAGACACAGCCACCATTGCCTCCACATAGACCATGTGCGGCAGTTTTTGTTTCCCTGTTGGGACCCACAACGAAAAGGACCCCACTTAAAGGGGCATGGACTTCTTTCTAAATTTTTATTGGCCATCAGCTACATGTGGATAAAGCGGCTCGGTTGTTAGAGCCGGACTGAGCTGAGCCGGATGAATGTCACTAGAATCAAATCACGAGTCACTGCCACGTAAGTAAGAAGTAACGGTCTATCTTCATCCCACCACCACCCACTCCGCCACATGTGGACCGCATGCATGCCCTATTTAACAGGCCAGACTTGACTCTTGTCAAACGGCAAGGGAACCACCACGTGTAAGGACGTGATCGTCGAGGGTACCAGATCTTGCCATTGAATTAATTGACTAAATAATCATTTTAAAACTTATCGTTTATCAAAATAATTTTTTTGTAAGAAAAAAATTCAAAATAAATATATTATTCAATTGTAAAGGTATATATTTGATAATTTAAGATAAATAATTATAAATTATATATTTAAAATAATTTAAATAAATAATTATTGATAATATTTAAATTTAAAATTTTTTTATTAAAAAAGGTAAAATTTAATCGAATAAACTAGTATTGTTTATCAAAAGTATCATTCTATGATTCGGATTTTTTTTTTTAATTATCCACTAAAAATTTTGACAAAAAATTCATGACTAAATTAATAGCACGAACGATTTTCATGTAATGTTTTCCATGTAAAAGAATTAAGGTCAAAATGTCAAATTTGCCACAATCAAATCTTATTTAGGTTCGTTAAACAGGGGACTCCGGTTCCACTTTTGGTCCTTTTACCTTCTGGTTCCGCTGCTCCATGCTTAAGTTTGATCAATCAGAACACAACACGTGGAGCAGAGCATTGCTTAATGAAGAATATATGAGAAAGATATTTCAAGAACAGGACGATGAAGTACAAACTTTGGACACTTCAAACTTATTTTGATTTTCCTCTGTCTCTTAAACATTGTTTGCTGTAAAAATTTTTGGATAAGAAAAATATTTCTCTCTCACCAACGGTATGACAAAAATATCAATGTATCCTATAACTTTTTAAATTTAAACTATGTGGCATTCTGTAATTAATGGGAAAAAATAAGCCTAAAAATTTTACATTTACAGCTTTGAGGCCATTTCTTTTTACAATATGTTCTCTATTTTATACCCACTGAAAAACACAAAATTAGAGATAGTAATTTAATCTATTTTGGATGGGTTTCGTTTCGACTTAATTTTTTAAAGGTTATTTTTATTTTAAAAATCAAATTTTAAGTCGAATAGAATAATAATAAAAAAAATTAAAATCAAAATTAATTTTTAGGTAAATCTACTTTAATCTAATCTGATATATATAAATAAATTATTTTTAATTAATTATTTAATTTTATATTTATATTTATATTTAAAAATAATATTTTATTAATTTTATATTAAATTTAATAATTACAATTTTATATAATATTATTTCAAATTAAATTAAATTAAATATTATGAATATAAAATCAAGTTAAATTTAAATCGAACAAAAATCTATTTCAATCTGATTCATTGTCATTCGTGCACAAAACTTTAAAAAAGCAATATGATGAACGTGAGTAAGTTGTTCCCTTCGAGATGTTCCTTTCTCTTTCCCTGTTTGTCTCCATTAAGGCCTGCTATAATAGTGATTTTGCCTCCTCATTAAGCTCACAAATGAACTTTAAAGGTGCCGGCCAGAACAAGAGGTCTGCTGATGAAGGGTTTAGCAGATTAGCTGCACATGGTCCGTGTTTGTGCTTTAGAGCAACTACATATGGTATTCTCCTATATGTGTTTGAACATGACAAAAGATTCATTTGAAACATCAAGAACAAAAGATCTTAATTTGATAAGATAATAACGATTTAGGCAAACAAGTTCTTCCATGAAGTGAATCAAACATTAAGATCTGAAAATCATATATCAGATCATTCAAATCAAATTATATTATATTTCCAATACTCATAATAAATGGGATAAATTGTAACTTTATACCCGTCTTTCAAGAGAACAAAAGGCTTTAAACTTTCTTCAACCTTTCACCACCGGTTTGTGGCTGAGGCCTTCCGGTGGTGGTGGTGGTGGCGGGTGGTGGTCTGGCCTCTCTTAATTTAGCAAAAAGTTGACATTTAAGTAGTTAAATTTCAAAAGTGATTGAAGGGAAAAAAAGAAAGAAAGTTTTGAGACACAATGATTAATGGGAGCATAAGCCAACTTGACAAAATTGGAAAACAAACTTTTTAGACATACAAATATATCCATCACCATCAAATTCCCATTACTAGACAAAAGCAAAACTGTCCGTTGGAGACTGTATTTCTACGAGCAAGCGTCTGGCACTGTCCATCCTCAGAGATAATGCGGTAATGTGCCCATGTCCCCATCCTTCAATCCTTTTTTAAACACTTTCTTCCGCCATGATTGGATTTTTTTCAGCTTTTATTCCTTCTTGCATGCCCATCATTTGCAAAATTTTTCGATACTGGTTCTTCATCTTTATCTATGAGTGCTATTATATTTCATAATTAGTAGATTTGATTGTTTGCATATTTATATCATATAAAATATTAAAATTTATTATTCAAATCGTATTTTATATGAAAATTATATATCATAATTTTATTAATATTAAAATATTAAATATATTTTTTTTAATTTTATTAAATACATATATAATTATTACTAAAATTTTAAATCGTATCATTTTTATATTTTATTTATATATTATATATCATGTCATTACCTCATATTTTAAATTATCAAATTTAGTAATTTATCTTTGCTTTATAAAAGATGAAATTGTAGTTAAATTTCTTGTTTTCATTTTTTTATATACTATATCCTCATATTGTATTTTAAATTATCAAATTTAATAATTAATCATTACTTTTTAAAAGTTAAAATTGTGGTTAAATTTTTTGTTTTCCTTCTTTTGTTAAAAGAATATCGAATTCGAAACAAAAATATTTATAAATCAAGTCGTACCAAATCCAATAAGTAAATTTATTCAAGATTTTTATCAATATTTTCAATAAAATTCATTTAAATTAAATTAATTAGAAAGATGTTTGAGTTGTTTTAATGAATTGTTTTACATTGCTTCGGTGAATACAAATTTTTAAATGTCCTCCTGATGTAAGATTTAAAAAAGAAAATGTTGAACATGTCCAAATAGGATTTCTTACATAAGATTTTAGTTGTTAGTGATTTTTTTATCCTTTGCTTTTGAATTCTTAGCTGCATGTCTTTATTGTTTTATTGTTTTTTTTTTTGTTTGGTTCAAAGTAAATCAACAACCTTTTTTGTCCACTTTCCCACAAGTTTGGACGCGACCAAACTTGTATGATAAGTATAATTACATTTATTTCTTTTAAAAGATTTTGATAAACCGATGTTTATAGGTATTAGTTAACATTTTTCATTTCTTCAATTTAATTTATTGAATCAACAATGTTAGACATTTAACTTATTTTTATTTAAGAATTTCAAGTGTATGATATACAGAAATTGCTTAAATTGTTTTTGGAAAATCAATTAGTAACAAACAAAATTAACACATTATAGTCTAATATCAAAACGTTCAATTTTTTTTATAAAAAAAATACAGTATAAAAATAAAAATTTACATATATATTATTTTTAATTTTAAATTTATTATATACATATTTTTAAAATTATAAAATTAACCTCAAAATCAATTTTAATTTGAAAAGATCATACACGTCCAAAATATAGGAGCGCATTGAATATTGTTGGGCACTAACAATATCAGATATGGGTCACGCAGTTCGGCCCTGAATTTTATTGGAAATAAATTAAAAAGATTTTCAAAATCGAATTTATGCGCAAATTTAGACATGAAATTTTCAAATTTGTCTGGAAAAAAAAAATGTTTAAACTCCATTTCACTGACTGCAAGACGAGTCATTAGCCGAGCCGAGCCAGACCTGGTACATAGAGTCTTGACAATAGATTTAAGCCCAGCCTAAACATCTAATTCTAATCGCTCTCCGCTCTCTCCACTTTGAATCCGGTCCGGTTCAGATAAGCCGAGTCAGTGAATTAAAAGGTCTAAGTTGTCTATAACTAAACTTTCTCATTCTCTTTCTCGTCTGTCAAAGTCGTCAGTCTTCTCTCTAATGGAGACGGGTTTTTCCTCACGTTAGCTTTCGAAGACTTAGCTCAATCTCTATTTGAATCAAAACCTTCAAGTTTTTAAACGCCTGCGTTTAACGAGATCTAGATTCAGAATGGAAGAAGATAAAGGAGCGCTGGTGCAGAGCTTGATCGATGCGGTGAACCAAATAGCTTCAATCGGCGACTACAGATGCCCGGTGAAGAAGGAGTATTGCAATCTTGCTAGGAGACTCAAGCTGTTGACGCCAATGTTTGAGGAGATTAGAGAAAGCAAAGAGCAAATCCCTGAAGAAACTGTTAAAGCTTTGGTCTCCTTGAAAGAATCTTTGGTTTCGGCTAAGGAGTTGCTCAGATTCGGCAGTGAAGGCAGTAAGATTTACCTGGTGTGTGAGTATTATTATTCGATTTTTTTTTTGGATCTGTTTGGCTGCTGAGAAAATGGAGGAAAATTAGCTTGTGAAGTACTTGCAATAATCAGAATATTTCTTGCAATAACATTATCTAAAATCAATTGATAAAATATTATAAATGGAGCATTAAAATTCGAATACGATATTTAATGCTACATTTTCTTATTAATTCAAAAAGGAATTTGATGTAGTTCCTTTTTTTTTCTTTAATTAATACTATAGAAAAAAAAAAAAGCACTCAGAACCTATTCAGTAAATATTTTAGCCACAATTTCATCCGGTTTTCTTTTTTATTTTTTTCAAATTCAAATAATTTTACGAGAAATTCTCATCATAAACATTTTCAAGCGTCATAGTTATCGATACATGCAAGGCTAAAGTAGGATCTCTAGTCCTTCATAGATTTTTCCTTAAAAGAAAAGGATATAACGTTGTTGATTGAATTTCAGGATTGTCCCTTTGTGTCTGGATTGTTGTCAAATCTGAATCCTTCATTTAATATAACTCTCTTGATCCACTTTTGTTTCCATTAGCTCCGACCATGATATATCAATTAGGGATTACCTTGTCTCTTGTTACGTTTTACGTGCTCAACTCTGCCTCTATTATTTTGATTATAATATAAGGTCTTGAAAATAACTGGTGTCATCATCATAATTGTATTGGAAGCCTGTGAAACTAAGGATAATGTTTTATAACCGGACAAGAACGAGTCTTTCATTCTGATTATGGAGATTTTGTTTCTGCATCAATAGTATGTAGAGTTCTGGTTGTTCTGTTTCTGGTATTTGATTTGGAGGTTCATTGCGGTGGTTAAAATTAGAGGGAGGGATGGAGAAATAGGAGGAGGAGGAGGACCAAAGAGATAGAAGCGGAGGGGAGAGGGGGGTGGTGGTTTGTAGTATCCCCAATGTATGGTTCCTAAGTTTCTGGCCTTGAAACTAATTTTCGGAGCATTCCTGCACAAGTAATTATACTTAATTGGGTTGTCATGTTCATTGGTTTCCTGTGGTTTTTCTTGGAATCATCGGTATATGGCTCAGTTTATGTTTCCCATTCTTACAAATGGAGGGAGAGAGAGATCTATTTCAATCGGGATCCCCAATATATGGCTTTTTATATTTGGTGCTTGTATTAATTCTTGTGTATTTCTATGTCAACAATCATATTGGTTTGTCACAGACATAGATTTTAGTGTTTTATTGTTGAGGTTGACAAACAAGTGCACCATAACATTTCTCCTCATGCCCCTATTTTGAGATGGGCTTTTAAAAGGAGCATTCCAAGTGGCTGCAATCCGTGGATGGGGTCGATTTATGGTATGACTACTTTGCTGAGGCAAGGAATGGACATAGTTTCTTTTTCTTGGTTGTGAAGCCAAAGTTTCATGCTCTTTGTTATGCCAGACTCTGAAACAGATGCACCCGTTTTCTGTTGAAAAGGACCCATAAATGGATATAAAGTTCTGAGGATCAAATTCATTCATTTATTTTGCTCAAGTTCGATACTAGAGCAATTTAATTTATCCCAAACTACTGCTTTTGTCTTCTTTTTCAAGCTTTATTGTGGCATATTGAATGCAATGATTTCACTCTTTGCTCATCCAATCTGTAATTTTATTACACTATGACTTTAGATTGTGGTTAAGTTTGACACTCATGTCTAGCAAGGAAATGATGGTATTAGAACTTCAATCTTTTAAAATGGCCAATGATATGTACTTTCTTTTTAATATTCTAATAATTGGTTACTTTCTAATTAGAGAGAGAAGCCATGAGTTTATAACCACCTGAGAAGGTGTTTATGTGATCTGTTTTTGAATCAACATCATGGTGTATTGTTAATTTTTGCTAGATTTATTTATTGCTAAAAGTAACTGTTTGAAAATCAAGTTCTACTTTAAGTGAAAATTTTTAACACAAATGAATAATATGTTGGTGAACTGGTTTGTCACCGCATTTGACTATCGACTGAAACTATTTTTGATCTGCATATAGGTTCTAGAGAGGGAGCAGATTATGCATAAATTTCGTGAAGTGACAGCTCAATTGGAACAAGCTTTGAGTGGAATTTCCTATGAGAATCTTGAAATATCAGATGAAGTAAAGGAACAGGTATAATCTATCAGTGGACGTATGTTTGGAAGAATTACATAGTATATTATTCTCCTCTTGCTATTTCATATTTGGTCCTTTTCTGTGTATGACCTATAGATGATTACTTGAATCATAGTCATCTTAGACATGGAATAGAGTGCCCTCAAGACTCAAGTAATAATAGTAATCATGATTAATTGAGTTTTTCTGGAGTTGCTTATGATTTGAGAAACCAAAGATGGTATGGATAGAAATAAGCATGGAGAGACTCAAGGGGAGCAAATAGCAATCAAAACTAAATCTATTCAGCTCTTAACACAATTCAACTTTAGGTTTCTTTTAGGTTTTAGAGGCCAAAAGGAACTTTGGGTTACTTCATTGTATAATTTTTTTTAAAGGGATTACATGAATAATATTTCTATGTTTAGATGGAGCTTGTTCTAGCTCAGTTCAGGAGAGCTAAAGGAAGGGTTGATGCACCTGATGTTGAGCTGTACGAAGATCTATTATCGCTCTACAACAAGAGCAATGATGCAGCAGCAGATCCAGAAGTGCTAAGGAGATTGGCTGAGAAGTTACAATTGGTTGGGATAGCTGAACTTACACAAGAATCACTAGCTCTACATGAGATGGTTTCTGCCAGTGGTGGAGATCCTGGGGAAACATTTGAGAAGATGTCAAACTTATTAAAGAAAATCAAGGATTTTGTGCAGACAGAAAATCCTAACTTGCAGGCTCCTGCAAGGGAAAAGTATCTTCCTCCTAGTAGTAGTGGGCAAGCAACCACTGATGGAAATCGCAAGACTCCTGTTATACCAGATGATTTCCGCTGTCCAATATCCCTGGAGTTGATGAAGGATCCTGTCATTGTTTCAACAGGGCAGGTATATTTGTTGTAGATTTCCTGCTCATGATAACCAAGATTTTTTCTTTTGAATATTTTCAGTCTTGAAAACCACCTCTCTCCCCTTTAGTTATTTAAATGTCAAGAAATGTTCAATTTTGCATGATAAATTTGTTTGGTTATTGACCTAGCTTGTTGCATCATATTACATTGTCATGCCATTAATTTATTTGGCCAAAAGTTTGTTCTTGAAATGGTCCTAGTCATATACTAGTTCTCTATTTTTAATTGCTTGGAGTAACTAAACTTGAGGTTGTGACCCAAATCGGATGCTAACTAAAAGATTTGTATAAGAACCTTGTGTTTTGGAATACATGTTTTGGACAATTGCACATACATGCAGAGGCTGAAGTCTTGTTTACCATTATTTTCATGCTATAATTTTAACAGGTTTCATTACTCTCTTCTGTAGACTTATGAACGTTGTTGCATCGAGAAATGGCTGGAGCAAGGGCATGGAACATGTCCAAAAACACGACAGACCCTTAGTAGCCCTGCCCTTACGCCCAATTATGTATTGCGTAGTCTAATAGCTCAATGGTGTGAGGCAAATGGCATTGAACCACCCAAAAGACCCAGTAAAACCACATCTGCCTTCTCACCCACCGAACATACAAAGATTGAAATTCTCCTCCGTAAACTTGCATCTAGCAACCCTGAAGACCAAAGAACGGCTGCAGGCGAAATCCGTCTTCTTGCCAAACGCAATGCTGATAATCGTGTGGCCATTGCTGAAGCTGGGGCCATACCTCTCCTTATGAGCCTCCTTTCAACACCTGACTCACGCACCCAAGAACATGCTGTAACAGCACTTCTTAACCTTTCCATTTGTGAAGAAAACAAAGGAAGTATCATATCATCTGGAGCAGTTCCTGGTATAGTCCTGGTGCTTAAGAAGGGGAGCATGGAAGCTAGAGAGAATGCTGCAGCCACCCTTTTCAGCCTTTCAGTAGTGGATGAAAATAAGGTGACAATTGGTGCCTTAGGAGCAATCCCTCCACTGGTGACGCTGCTAAGTGAAGGCACACAAAGGGGCAAAAAGGATGCAGCAACAGCACTCTTCAATTTGTGCATTTACCAAGGGAACAAAGGAAAAGCAGTGAGAGCTGGAGTTGTGCCCACGTTAATGCGATTGTTGACAGAACCTGGAGGTGGAATGGTGGATGAGGCATTGGCCATACTTGCTATACTTGCTAGCCATCCTGAAGGGAAGTCTGCCATTGGAGCAGCAGATGCAGTGCCAGTTTTGGTAGATTTTATTGGAAATGGATCCCCAAGGAACAGAGAGAATGCAGCTGCAGTTTTGGTGCAACTTTGTGCTGGAGACCAACAACATTTAGCAGCGGCCCAGGAGCTAGGCGTGATGGGTCCTTTGGCGGACTTGGCACAAAATGGTACAGATAGGGGCAAGCGGAAGGCTACTCAATTGCTTGAGCGCATGAGTAGGTTTGTTGAGCAGCAAAAGCTGGCACAGGCGCAAGCTGAGGCCCCAAGCACAGCAGTTCCAGCCTCAGCCTAAGCCTCAAACTCAGCTGCCGCGGCCACCCTCTGTGGCAGATCCTGTTGATAGCTGAGGTTCATTTTGCCAACTGTTTTTGTTCGTTTTGTCACCTTGTTTCTTTTAACGTATTAAAGGAGGCAGCTTTGCTACAAAAGAGGTGGAAGATCACCTGTCCAACCTATAAGTTATTCATTTGTTTGTATGCAAGAATATTTTATTTACAGACCCATCAAACTCCCCCTCCCACCCACCCAAAAAAAAAAAAAGGGAAAGGAAAAGGCTGATTTGTGCTTCACATGTATGCAAATTTGTACCATTATAACATATGTACGATTGTAATCATCCTCAGTTTTAATTCGAGAGAGATGTTTCTGTTTTCAAATCAAACTTGGTTTCCAAAGTCACTTGTGATCTCTGCTTGCTCAAGTACAACGTTGTGGACCTTGAACTTCAGTCTGTGTTTTATTTTTGCTACAAATGTAACTCATTTACTCTTAACAGCTATATTTTTTCAGACATTTTGATTTAGGTTCAGAATTATTTACATATATCAGAACGATTAATCAATCCTTTTATTATCTATAAAACTTGAAATTCTCAATAATCAAGCCAATTTTTTCTTGAATAAATAATTAAGCCACTTGATTAAGCTTTCAAATTGGTTAATAAACTGATGACTAATCACCATAGCTGCAATTTGTCAAGTGGCAATGTCGTACTAAGATTTTGGGATTTGGGACGGGTTTGGGCTGTTTTTGCGGAAAAGATTTGAGCCAGCTCATTTGGATGCTGGTTGATGTTGCCGTTGGAAACAACTTTTGCGTCGCTCTTCGAGAGGGCCTCCGCTTTGACACTTTTGCTAGCTATCTCCTTTGCAACTTGATTGGACCACCCTACCAAAAGCATATAAACCTATGGACCACCCTTCTTCGGCTGTTTGATGCCCCATAAGTCATAACTAAGCCTGTTTCGTAGATTTTCTAGTAATGAAATTCTTTTAATCATCTAGTGTAATTTCAAACAAATTCGAATTTAATTCAATTGATTAATAAAATTATTTTTAAAATATAATATTTAATAAATTTAAATTTTAAATTTTAATATTACAAATTTTCTATTATCTCAAGATTATGATTTCCCTTGTTAAAAAATTCATATTTAATCTATTGGTTATAATAATTTTTTATAACATAATTAAGGAACACGGATTTGAATTCTTATTTCTTCCTTACATATGCAGAAGGATAAATATAATATATAGGTATAAAATATCAAGATGGAAATAAAATCTTATGCATGCAAAAACGTATTATGATTATTTTTGTAAAATTTGAAATTATAGGGTTTTTTAATGATTTTTTTTGAGTAGTTAATGAAAGAGATTTTAGTCATAAATAATTCTATACATTTTATTAAATACTTACTTTATGGATTTGATTTAGGATCAACCTAACCACAATAAAAAAAATTAATGTCAATAGTGAAGGCAAGATTAATTCATTTTTTGTTCGATTTTATTTGCTTTTTTGAAAAATTTAGTATTTGTAAATGATTAGTTTATATATATAAATTCAAAGTTAATGTGTCTAGCGGTTTATTTTGCTATTTGAATTTTATTTTAAGTTTTTTTTTTTTTACTTTTTATTAAAAAATAAAAAAATAATTAGCAAAAATATCAATCAAACGAAATTGGCATGAAACCTAAAAGAGTATCGAAATATAAAAAATAAAAATAAAAATCAGTCGTTTCTCATCAACCTAATTAGACATATTTTTTAAGTAATTTAAAGATTTCGACCAAACCCTATTGGTAGGGCAGGTTGCACATAGAAATTCTGCAATTTGATTATTTTATATCTTATAAGTTTCAATTTCTTTTCTCTAATTATTTTTCTTCTACTGATCTGCTGCTTGATTTCCTTCCTCTCCCCCTCTACTTTCATTTCAAATCCCCATGCATTCTCTCCTGGCTGCTCTGCTCTATCTAGTACACAGCCAAGAAGTAAAAACTAAAATGCAAATACATGCATGACCTACTGCAGGCTAGCCTTAAGTAATTAAACATCAAACTCACAGCTTAACAACGACAACTAGCTTTAGTACAAAAAAGTTGGGGCTGCTTCTATTTCCAAATTTCAAACTTGAATCTCTTTCCAATTTTTCCATTTCCCAATATTTCCCACCCAAATGTGATCAGATGTTGGGTTCCCCACATTTTCGTCATCACAGAATTTCACTAACTGTTTTTTCACTTTCTAGGTTCTATCCCCAACCGACTATCATGAAGAGAGAGATTGTTTTATTATTGTTTTGGATTTGCTTTACTCATTGTTGCAAGGCAGTAGTCTTGATCCTTGCAAAAAGCAAATATCCCCCCTCTTTGATTCCTTTTCTTTTCTTTTGTTTGAGACAAAACCATCCCTATAGCTGAGTTTTTAATATTATATTATTTATTTTCTACTGTCTCATTATGAGTAGAAGATTTCGCACCTTTAATTTCTTTTCTTAAATCTGATCTTTCGTTTTCTGGGATCAAATTTGAAGCTTACTACACTGAAAAGATCTAAATAAAGAGAGAGACAGAAATGTTCAAAAGGTTTCACTTCTTTTGACCATCCCATATACTTGAGAAAACTTAAAGCATTTTACTACATCTTTCTTTCTATAAAAATTCTAGAATACTTCGCACACTTTGGTTTAAAATGGAATTGCATGGTTTTGAGTGGGATTTTTGGCGTTTTCTTGGATTCTTTGGCTTTAACTTTGAAAGTTCAACTCCAACACACCCAACGAAATTTGTAATATATATCACAACGATGCTTATAATTACAGAATCATTGAAGCTGTTGTTAAAAGATAAGGAAATTCTTACTCTGACTGGTGCATTATCTTAGATGCATGGCCTGCAGCTGTAGTTCAAGCTTTTCCACGTACATGTATATATAAAAGAATGGAAAAGCATCGGAGATGGAATCAAGATTGGATAATCAACAAGTGCAGATGCAATGAAACATCGATTTTTAAGTTTATAAACATGCTAGAGACACCATGGAGGAGATTATTATGGACTGTGCACAGTAAAATATTATAAGCTTCATAACTTCAAAATGATGGTGTAGGGAAATTCATGACTGAGAGAGAAAGAGATCGATTGTAGGGATTTACAATAAGTGCATGTTAATTTATTGTGTCTAGAGAGATTTCACTTGGTTCTCTTTGGCTGATGAGAAGACAAGATGCAGATGACTTCATCAACTTTTTATTCAGCTAGAATTCATAGAAGATTCTTTGAAAATCAGGAAAATACATATACACAAATTTAGCATTATTTTATGCAACTTACACAGCACAGTGTCAATCTCAGCCCTTTTTTTTTAGCCCATGAGACTACTCTCTAGTAGAATATTTTCTTGCTTATTCTTCTAATGAACTTTTTTTTTTTTTTTGGAAATGTGGGTGATATGATAATTTGCAGAAAGGACTCTTTCATTCTTCGTGGTGGTGATGCAACCTTGTACTAACAGTAGTAATGCAAGAATAGAAACAGACATGAGAAAGAAGTTACAATAAAGGATATTTCACAGAGAAAAATTAGCTGATTATGTCAGATAACAGATCCCATAACTTCACACACAACCGTAGAACAAATCTGTAAACAAGCCCATGCAAACAAAAAACCAAATCCATAGCTTAAGAAAACCCAAAAATATATAGTATGAAACAACATCAATTCTGCCAATCTTTGTTTAGTCTGCGATAGATGATGATGATGATGATTGATGAGACAAGTTCCTCACTGAACCTTGCAATTTCACCACCCATTATTTAGTTTTCGATGGAGCTTGTGAGGGAGTCAAGGTGATCAAAGGAACATTGCAACTTTATATATGTCTACTATCTGTCATTAAAGCTGTTGTGATAACTGGAATGAAGCAGCGGAAGCTTCAAGATCAGCTTTAAGCTGCTGTCTATCAAGAAAGATTAAAACTATCTATAAGAGATTATTAGTACTAGAAGAGTTGTGACCTGGTAAATCTGTCCAACTATTTCCTGATCCCCAGTACTGGTTATTCTCTGAAACACCCAACAGTGATCTTGATAGATTTAGCCCTTGGTTGTTTTCCATTTTCACTGGAGCTAGCTGAGAAACCCTAGAGCTTGAACTCAAGGAACGAAGAAGTTGGCTTTCTCCCACCATAGAAGATGATGCTTCAATACCCTCACTTTGAAATGGATATAAACCATTTATCGACTCAATGAGAGGGAACTGCTGATGAGGTCCTGATCCTGCAGATAAAATAGCACTGCTCATGCCTGAGTTAGTTCCTATCTGAAAACCCATATCAGCTTGCCCACTAGCGCCACTTGTTGCCCCTATCTGACCTTGAATTCCACCAAAGTTTAACCCAATATTTCCCAAACCATACTGAGAGAAATTTTGCAAAGAAGCCATGAAGGGTAAATAAGGTGTTTGATGTGGCAAATGAACAGTGATTTCAGAAGGAATAACAGCATTTGTTGAATTTGAACCAACTTGCTTCTCAGCAGAAGCAAGTGATTTTGAGCTGCTGCTTTTGTTTTTCTTGTTTCTTCGGCATCCTCCCCCTACTGGAACATTTCTAAGGGCACCTCCTCTGGTCCAATACCGCCGACACGTCTTGCAAAAGTGGCGAGGCTGTGAGAGGCTATAGTTATTGAAGTAGCAAAATTTGGTATTGGTGGAATCACACCTTGGACATTTCAGGGCTGCCTCTGGTTGTGGAATCTTGGCTAGCCTGGTTCGATCAGCCATCGAACCAGGCCTAATGGAGCCAGTACCAGCTCCAACATGAGGAGGTGGAGGAAGAGGTGGAAGCTGAGGATTTTCACTACCAGTTCCTTGTTGATGATTATGCTGCTGCAAAATACATGTAATCCAACACAAAGTAAATATTTATAATTGTAAAGAAGAAAATATTTGGTATATTCAGGAAAATATCACAAAGGAATAGGAATATTTATCTTTTTAATTAGCTTTATTTTGGGTGTGGATAGAAATTGATGAAGAAAAAAGAAAACCATACCTGGTGCCAGTTGGGAGGATCTAAATAGACTGGAACAGATGAGAAAACCATGGTTAATCTTTTGTTATCTCTTTTTCTTTTATAAAGGTTGATGGGTTCTTTAGGAAAAATAAGGTGGAGAATCACACTAAGGGAATACCAGAGGCCAAGAAAGCAAAGAGAAAAGAGAATTAAAGAGTGGAGGGAGAAGGAAAGATGGGGGAAGGAGATGGCTTTTTTTTTTTGCTCTTATTATTCTTTCATGATCTGTCCTTTTTGTTTTTATCATTTTTAGGGTTTTGAGTGGACGAAGTTTTTCTTCGCCTATAAGCTTTCTTTCTTCATGCTGTGGACTGTTTAATTTTAGTGCTCAAAAAGAGAGCTCATGCATGGCATAGAGAGAGAGAGAGAGAGAGAGAGAAAGAGAGTCTAGAATAGCACCATAGCAAGAAATTATCACCCCTTTACCATTATGGTGGGATCCCCTTAGGATTAATCAAAATATTCTTAATCAAAAGGAGCCTCTAGCCCGTAGCCCTCATTCATGACGTTTAATATATATATATATATATATATAGAGCTGAGTATTTTTATGGCGTTCAATTATTCTATTTATTCTTTTTTTTATTTGATATTAACATAAATTAATTTTTATCATTAAAATTAAAATTTCATTATTTTATCAAAAGATCATATTATCACTGTTAGCATAGCGTATTTATTTTAAACTATAAATATTACAAGTATGATCATGTTGTTATTCACAGTTGTATATTCTGTATTTCCCCTTGAACTTCTGCTTTTTCCTTGAAAACATGATAACTTTTTCATAAAGCCTTAAGTATATACTAATCTTTTCCTTTTGGACAGCGCTTATATATATATATATATATATATATGTTTATTATTTAAGAATCAAACAATCACTCATAACTACCAAGCCATTTGGTCTATTTTTCTCAGACCTCTTTATTATAAGCGGTAGGCGTGCACGCCTACGATCCTGAGATAAAATTGAGTCTTCAGGATCGAGACTTACATTATTCTTCAGCCTCCATTTAACAAAAGACAACTCTTAATTAAGAATAAACAGTAAATTAAGTGAGACTTCTTTAGTTCACTGTGGTATAATTGCCTCAGATAAACTTGAGAAAGTTGCATGTATACATGATTAGCTGTGTATGGTTTCATGATCATCCCTTAATCCAGTCTTCATTTTTCATGATCTTGTTTTGGGTTCTGTTGTTAATATGCAACAGCATGCATGCCTCATATATAAGCATATAAAAACTTAGATACCCTAAGTTTTCATAAAATGCAAACACATATAATTAATTTATTAGACTACGTTAGATAAACGCTTTTGCTTTTTGTTTTTTGTTATTTATCTTTAATTTTCTATTGAAATTTTATTTCTTTTTTTTTCATTCATTTTTTGCAAAAAAAAAAAAGAAAAATGAACAAAGAAAGTAAAAGTGTTTACCAAACCAAATGGAACCTTTTGGGAAAAAAAAAAAAAACAAAACAAAAGGAACCTTAAATAATTGGAAACATTGATAAATTATTTGGTTAAACTTTGCTAGTCTACATATTACTGTTTAATTCCTTTTCAGCTCTCTCTTGACTTTTATTATTATTATTTTTTTGGGGTTGGAGGTAGCTTGCCTTTTATTAATTAAACGTATCTGTTCATCACATCATTTTCTCAATTATATAGTGCTTTAAGATCTTTTCAAGTCAATTAAGCACATCTATGCCTTAACAAATTCAACCAAAAAAAAAAAATCATTTTCAATTTAAAAAAAAAAGAAAAAAAAAAAGAAGACGTTGAGTTTATCCAATCTTCATCAACTTTTAAGCTGCATTAGAAAATCTTCTTGTTGTCTTTAAACTTTAATGCCTATAGACCATGAATGTTTTTCATGAGGCACAACAATTTGCATTTTGTCTTTCCTCTCTTTTCCCTTGTTATTCCTATACTCTTTTCTCTGTTGAATCCCCTTTTAATTGGATTGAGACAGCAAAGAGAGTACGTGGAAAGAAACCATGGAAATTACTTTGTTTGGTGAGAGGGCAGGAAAAAGATGAAACCATTACCCATGCATGTATGCCCTCTTCAATTAAGGAACCTGACTTCTATACTCAGAAAGGGTTATCCTTTAATATTCGATGAGGCCGATCTGTCACTATTAAATTTACCCTTCATTGATCCTACATGCATGATTGGTTTAACGTGTAATTAACACTGGCTCCTATGGTACTTTAATTTAATTTGTTGAAACTGCAAAGTATTTAATATTTTGGAGAAAAATTATTTTCATAATTTACATTTATTTTCCGGTTCAAAAGAGACGGGGATAGAAAATGAGTTGCAGATTTGCAAGTTTAGAAATTTGAATCTTAAACTTATTGATACTTAACATTTATTAGGGATATCTATATGAACAAATTCAATTAAGTTCTGAATTCATAATTAAAATCTATTTGCTAATACATTTGTAAGAACTAGTAGGAGATATATGTCTATCAAATTTTGGAATAGTCAACTTTTTTTCTTGATAAAGTTCAAAATGGAAAGTCAAATTCAAAATAAAGAGATCTATTTTTTTTGGAAGAAATAAAGATCATATGATGATCAGTTGGACACTAATTATGTCTTAATTACAAATACCTTAAATGTTTTACAACACTTTTTATGAACATTCCTTCAAAATGATGTCTTACAGTAAATACAAATATAGCATATTGGCTTTGTTTTTTTTTTTTTGTTTTGAGATAGTAGCATATTGGCTTTATGAGCATGATAGGATGCTCCCTGATTATTAATAATTTAAATGAGAATGTCCAAGCCAAACCTTACTATAGCATATTATGTCATTAACTTTAACTTTAACTTTAGTGGCAATGTTTTGGATGCTTGATTTAGTTAAATATTCCAAAAACAAAGCTAATGACATAAGAAGTCTCAACAATTAAGACTTATTTTACTGTCTAATTGAATTCCAAGATATTTAAATATTTTAAAAAATATTTTATAATTTTAATTAAATAAAAATTATTTTTATTAATTTAATAATATTCCAAACTGAATTTAAATTTAAAAAAATTATCTATGACCCGATCCAAATCAAACTAAATAAATAACTTAATCTGCGAACGAGTCTAATGAAAAGCTTGAAAATTTGAATTTAATTGTTAATATATACAAGGATGAAACTGGTGGAAAAGAAAAAAAAGAATAGTACTCACTACATAATCAGGGCTAATGGAGGAAAGTTGGTAAAGCATTTGACATCATTTCATGAGAAAAGTGATTAGGTAAAAAAAACGTTTAATTAATTAGGTTTTAGCCTTACTGTTATAAAAGGAAAGATAACAAAGAAAACTCTTCCTTTTCCTTTTCTTTTCCTCTTCCTTCGGGTGGGAAGAATGAGTAAAGACAGAAATAGTCTCAATCTCAATACAGTACGTAACTCTTTCCAACAAAAAGAAAAAGAGGCTGTGATAACTCCCTTTCTATTTCCCAAACCCACACTTCATCTGGATGAAGATTGAAGAGAAATCAACTCTATCATATTCTCCTTTATTCATTCTCTATTTTTTTTTTTTTAGTTTTAAAATTTAAATTTTCATTTGACAACTTGATCATATGTAATTTCATAATTTACATTTTATGATTTGAATTCTTAAAAATTCAATCATCACCATGCGATAAATTTTTTTTTCATGATATCAAATGAATCCTTAATAAATTTCGAGTGAAAAAAAAAAAACAGCTAAAATTAAATTTTATTATATTTAAATAATGCTGTGACAAAGGGGAAAATCAAATCAATCTTTTTTTCTTCTTTATCTTGTGAGATGCTAATGGCCGGGATTCCGAAGCCACGTTAGCTAAGAGCGTAGGTCCCATTTCGTAATATACTTTTGTAATAAAAATCTACGGAATATATACGGTTGATTTGGACGGTGGAGTAAAACCCCTAATACCAACAACACCGCCACTATCTTCCCCTTAATACTCCTTCTGTATTGATTAATTAATTAATAGCCTTAAAGTATCTTTTAATAATTGTATTATAAAGTTTTGAATTATTGATCAATGTCAATATGTATTTCTTTTGAAGAGAAAGTAGACGTGGAAAGAATGTTTAGGGATGTTAATTTTATTCAAATTAAATGAGAAATTTGATTTTTTTATTCAAATTGAGATGAAAATGGATAGTAAATTTTAGAGATAGAGACAAGATGGATATAGTTTTAAATTTTTTATTGGATACGGACATGAGAATGGAGAATATATCATTTGTTTTGTATTCGTATTTATATTTTATATATTTTATATATTAGTATATAAATTTTTATTTCAAAACAATTAAAATTAATATATTTTATTTAAAAATACATTTAAAAAATTAAATAAATGTGTAAGATAAAAAAATAAATTTTTTTATTTTTTAAAAAAAGCTACTGTGTATGGAAATTATCCATACCTGTTAAAAATTTGCAAGAACTTTTAATTGAAATAAATTTAAAATACTCTTTAAATATGAGTATAGGACAGGAAATGAAAAATGCTTTATCCGTCTTATATTTCATTGATATTCTTAAAAATGTTAAATCGATGTTATTTTTTGAAATTTTAATTTATCTTTAATCCTTAGATCTTTATTTGAAAATAAAATTAGGTGTATTCACTTCCGTCTTTTTAATACTGCAAAAGTAAAGATAAAATCATATTCTTATCACACATGCATGATTGAATATGAAGAAATTATGAATCATAAACTTGTAATAATTAATTTGAAAAAAAATACATAAAGAAATTTACTTTTCCTAACTAATTGTCATACTCCATCAAGATTTAAATAATTAGGACTGAAATTTTGATATGAAAGAGGAACAAAAAAAATTTAAATGAATAACTCGAAAGCGGATGATCTAAATTAGATTTTTTTTTTTCTTGAAACTCATGGTGTAGTTAATTAATCATATGATTTAAAAGTGGAACAACTAACCAACAAGGACTGATCGATTAAAATATTAGTAATACACAAATATGAAAAAGGTAGTAATTAAGGCAAACATCTCAGATTCTCATTGCTCTATCCTCTGGTTCATGAGTGGGGTTATAGTTTATCTCCCACGTGCATGTAGTTTTGTATTTATTATTTTTATTGGTATTATTCAAAAAAAATTTATACAAAAGAAATAATAATTTTAAAATAAAAGAAAGTTGCCGTCGTTAAAATTTGAATCTCAAATTCCATTCTTAAATTTGTTGAATATCACATTTTAAAAATGATTATATTAACTAATTAATTAGGGTAAATACCGGGTTCATTATTTCAATTTTTTTAGCTCTTTGCTTTGCATGCAAGATTGATATATGCATATATCTGCTTGCTTACCGGGCAGCAGATTTTTATCTCAAACGTGGAACTGGATGAGTTAGTTTCATTTATTTCAAACATTGAAAAGCCTACAAGAATTCGGGTTGGTGGCGCTGGAATCTAATTCCCTATCAAGTTTTGGACAGAGAACAACCTTTCGCTCATTTTCATGCCCAAAAGCTACCCCTCCTGTCTCCAGATTTCTAGTTGGAAAGGAACCAAATTTGCAGCCTTAACACATTCGTCTGTCCCCCTCCCCTAATTGCACAACATTTAAGCATAAAAGGAGAAGTGCAATTCCGCGTATACCCATATATATAAATATCTAATAAAACACATGAGATTATATCTGCATTATTCAAATCCACCCTTTTATAACAGTTGAAATATCTAAAACTTTCGACAGTTTTGGCCAATAGGGTTGGCTCAACGGTTAAGTTATATAGTTTGCCTCGTTTTGAGACCTAGACAAATGAAATTTTTTGAGACACACACTTTGTTGTTGTATGGGATTAGAGCAACGTATCTACTGCTTTATTGTATTAAAGAAATTTACTATAGGGTTTTTTTTTTTTTGGGTGCATTAAGTACTAGGGTTTTGCAGAAGGGAAAAGTATAGGTAACCTGCGGACCAAGGGTGGTATGTCCCCACATGATGAAAGATAAACGATCCCATAATTTTTTTTTTTTTCTTACAGGCTTGTATTTGTGTATGGATGTTACATTTGATGGAAAATGGTACAACACGAGGGGGTCAACTAGATGGGTCTGACATGGTATCCCACTCTGCAAAGACAGACAGAGTACCTTGTCTGCTGTTAAAGACCGAAATACATGTGGCTGCGCGTTAAATTTTGGATTTCGACCCTTCAAAAAAAAAAAAAAGTTCACTGTAACCAAAACTTTGCCTCATAATTGCACATGCAACTCTGACAACAATAAGATGCCTGCATTCTTACTTTTAAGACGAGCAGGCATAATAACCAAGGGCAAGGCTTTGCAACCTTAGAGCTAGCAGAAGTCCCATAGGACCCAAACCAAAGCCATCGAAAGAGAAGCTAAGCTACAGCTCTCATGTTCTGTCTGAATCTGATCATGATTCATCCACATCCTTGAGAAAGATCGTTTCTAGGCTTTTAGCTTTTGTTCTTTGAGGGGTTTTGGACACTATTATTAATGGATGATCAGTGATAAGGACTGGTCAAAGAAGAAGACCATAGATTATCCTTTGTCTTTTTTTGTTCTCTTTTAATAAGGTTAGGCGAGTGTCCAGTTTTGGCATAATCTAGTTGAGGTTTAAGCCTGTCATGTTAGGCAATAATTTCTCAGCAGAGTCAGCTCATAAGCATCAATAGCTGGTGACACATGCAGAAAAGAAACTTCCAAACCTGTGTACTAATTTATTCCAGGATAATTCATGGCTAACATCAGCCAGAAACGTGCTCATTTTTAAGTTCTTCCATCATTCCTTTGCCTTATCTTCGAGTCTAAATTTGAGTCCAAAATCTTAATGATCTCCCTTATTGATTGTATTGAGCTTTCTTCTAGCTAGTGCCCCGTCCTATCAACTATGTGATAGACATATGATTGCCAATCAAGCAGCCATGTTTGAGTAATTTAGCCCAAAACTAGCCCATAAAGCCCAATTTCTGCTGAAATTGAGTATGCAATTCAAACTCCAATCTGATCAAGAAAAGAAAAGGGGGATGGGGGCGAAGGATGCTTTTTCCCCACATTAACATGAAAAGAAAAAGAAGTCCCAGCTTTTTGCTCTGTGCTTTTAATATTAATATTATCATCAATTACAATAATGTACTCGATGACGCAAGTACTTTTCCTGTTATTACTTTTTGGGGAGAATACGATCTTTTTCTTTTTCTTTTTTTTAATTTTTGGCCTTTACCTCCACAACTGGCTCCTTTGAGAGATCAAACATTTTATTGAAACTTGTCAAAAATTAACCAATGAGGTTGATTGAATTGGTCATATTTTACTACTTCGTTCGTAAAATTTAGGTTCAAATTTCGTTACCAACACTCTTTTTTTATAGACAATTTACAATTTTAATATAAGTACTTTTTTAAAATTACAATCTATTTTGAACTTGAAATGAAAAAAATTTTCATCATCTTAAATTTTTGTGTCTCAAAAAAATTTAAGTTTATAGAATTTTTCTTGATTTAAATCTAAATATTTTTTAAAAAAATTAAGTAGTTAACTATAAAAATTGGCCTGAGCCCTTTTTTAGAATTAATTCATTTTAATAATTTATTTTATATTAATTGTGACAAATTTTTAAAACAACAGTCAATAATGCATTTAATTTTTTTCTTTGATTTTCGGAGGAGAAATTCTAACTTCAGTTTTTAATAATAAAAAAAAGCGCCAATTACTAAAACTTTTATATTATATTATAAACACTCATTTTAAAAGTACCATGGTTCAAGGGAAGAAGGACCCAACCTTGCCCAAAACTGTGATTTCTTCCGAAAAAGGTAAGAAACTGCTAACTAGGCTTGGTGTTACTATATACTTCATAAAATCCAATGTCTTAAGGAAGTCCAGCCCAAGATGTATATAAACAAACACAAGCTTTCTCTAATTTCACCGGTGGCAAAAATTCATCCCTCCCAAGAGCGAGGATACAAATCTGAAACGCCCAAACAAAGCCCTAAATTCTAGACCCATGACAATGCATAATAGAAAGTTAGAAACGAAATATATAATATATATATATATATTTAAATTTTTTAATCTCGACCCACAATTTCTATTTATTTAATTTATCTGAAAAAGAAAAATTCTCTAACAATTGGCATCAGAAACGAAATGTTAAACCAGCCTGAATACGAAAAACCACATCTCCACCGAAAACCCACATCTCCACCGAAAACGGTCACGACCTGAAAACATAAAAAGAACATTCTCGAAAATCCAAGCTCCATTTATTAACAGACTATAATTTCTCCTAATTCCTCATTCATCGTTATCTCAGAAACTCTATTTTTCCCGTCCTTTTTCCGTTTTCCTGTTTTTAACTTGAGTCTTCAGCGATTAGAGTTTTATAACGGCTGGCAGAGTGAGGGGCCGGCGATCAGGATCAATCTGGGGATACACTCTTTAATTGATGATTTCTTAATATGAAACTCTCTACTAACTCACACCAAGGATTTCTTTGTTTCCAATAACACAGAGAAAACAGAGTAACACGGATTGTTCTACGCAAAGTACTGTACTGCTGCTCCTAACCCTGTTCTCCTTTCGTTTGTTCTACATGGCAGTTTGGTAAAATAAAAACAGAAAAGAAAGCTGATGGAACACAACATGATCATGTCAAACACTATTTGACATGAAAAGCAATATGCAAGATTGTTTTTCTATCTGTATCCATCATGTCTGTTAAGATTATTGATTGGTACTCCTCACGATGACAAGAATTAGTTTGAGCTACATAAAACTTATCAAGAATCTGTTTTCCAAAATTTCCACCAGCAACCTCAAAAAAATCCAATTAGCCAATGATACATCAATGTTCTCGAGCTAACAACCAATATACTTTTTCTTCTGCTAAACCACCGGAAGCGGTGAGAATGATGCATAAACTTGACACTCTTGTTTACAAAAAAAGCCCACACTACTTCCTTCCCCTGTTCAGCCTCTGCAGGTGGTAATTAATGCTGCCCCAGGGCTTTCTGTTCTTGGTAGACTACAAGAAAGTAAACCAAATGTTTACTTAAGTCATGATGAATTAGATAGGCTACAGAAGTGTAGTCAACATAACATGCTGAAGCAAAAGTACTTTTTTTTTTTTGCTACATGTTCTTAAAAGCATGTGAAAAAAAAAAAAAGGAACGGAATAAGCACTCCGGAGGCAGCCAGGAACTGATGATGTAAAGTAATTGAGGAATTTGGGGGCATTACTTAAATTGAAGACATAATTACATACCTGAGCATCCATACAGGCACTCAAAAGTTCCTTCTGCCGAGTGCATTTTTCATCATTAAACTTGCTATGGGACAAGCAATTTAGGAATGTTATCATTTCTTTCATGCAAGGTTTTGTAAGAGTGCCAAATTTCTTTGGGTTTATATAAAGTCCACCAGCTTTCCGGCCCATTCTTTATGATTTAGTCTACATGCACAGAACAAAGACAATAAAATGTTACATCCACTTCCTTTTAGTTCAACCCTACGTCACATGAAGCCAGTTGACAGGAAAGTTGCAAAAGAATATATAACACTGGTAAAACATAAAATTCCTTGACAGTGGGATAAGCATGAGAGCAACAATGCACATATAGATAACAGATTCTCAAAGCTTCAGATCCTGACAACAAGTTCATATACACATACATGTAATGCAATTATAGTTACAAGAATGCTTGGCATGTTACATAGCCAGTCCATAATAATACTTATAACAAAGAGAGATTCACAAAGTCAACCCTTTCTAAGCAAAACAATTTCCCTTCAAACTCATGTAACCAATCACACAACTTGACATTGGCTTGGACAGCGAAGAATTCACATGAAAGCATAAATGCCTGCTCTGATAATGTAACAGAGTGTGATTTGACTAAAAACTTATCGAATACAAATCGTCTACAAGAAACAAATTATATAAAGCATTCTGAATTCATTTTGTTGAATCATAGTCAGTTGCATCCCTATTTCTGGAGATGGCAACCTCACCAGTTTGACATCCCTAGTTCTCCGTCTTTTGTATGTGTGTATATGTCTTCTCTTTTATCTTTCCATTCGATATATGCGCGTATTCTAGAGCTTATATCCATAAGAATTAACTAGAGTCAAAAACAAATAAACTTGAGGCAAATACGATGAATCTGAAAGTAAAAAAAAAACCCAAAAACCCTAAATTTTAGATCCTTATACCAAACTACTGATTAAGCGAAGCAGAAGCACAATTATTCACAGATTCGTTAGAGCTTTATTGTAAACTAATGACAATAAAATCATAACCTAAAAAATTTTCACCAACTAAGAATGTTAATTTACAAACAGAAAAAGGGGAAAAAGTTGCTTTTCTTCAGAATCTCACAACGATCGCAGAACTGGATAGGTAAAAGAGTATTGAAAAGGAAAAGAGAGAATAGTACCTGATTTAGAATTCGCGAGGGATTGGGAAATTTCGTGCTTGGAAAATCTGGTTAGTCTTTGTGAGTGTAGCAGATGAAGATGACGATGAAGTAGGGAGTATAATGGAATCACTGCCTGTTAGGTTAGGCTTCATTTGGATTCAACTGAACCATTGAGTTGTGATGAGAGCCCACAATTGGACTGATGGGCAGTTTGGCAAACAAGGTCCAGTGCGTTTAAGCCTTTCTTAACAACACTGAGCCCACAGTGGAAATATTACACTTCCACTGCTGCTGTTTTCCTGTTTTACCCATGCTTTCAACTTTGTTTTTATCCTTTTTGCCCTTATGACTACATTGCCTTATAGCCTTTTTTTTTTCTTGTGTCTTTTCTATTATTTGTTTTTTGAATTATTTTATTTTTTGTTAAAATTTTTCAAATAACTTCATTATAATTATGTAACAACCCATTTATATAATTATATAATAAACTAATTAATAGATAATTAGCTAAAAATCATAAATAAATAACCAATTTTATTATCAAATAAATTACTAGTAAATGAAGAAAAACAAGCATCTTTATAAATAAGTAATTAATTTAAATAGATAATTATATAAATCATAAATTAAATAAATATTGCTTATTTATTTTAGGATTTGTTTTCTATTAAAAATATTAATTAAAAAATTAAAATCGATTCTTGTGTCAGCAAAATTTTTTTTTTTTAGAGCTGAATTCAATCATATGCCAGTACAAAGTTCAGAGTAGAGTTCCATTCCATGACTTTAAGGGGCTATCCTCGTAGTCCTTATCTCGAAAGTACTTCGATAACCAGTAAAGTCCAAGAACTAGGAATCTTTTTATGAGAAAAAACAGTGATTTACCCAACAACTTTAAACCCCAAAAGATAAAAAAGGCTCGAGAATGAAGCTGTTGTTCAGAGAAAATCACGGATCATTATTCAATCTCAATTATGTTTCGACAGGCATTTATTTTCATGATTGAATAAGCCCAAACATCGCTTTAGCTTGTCCAAATAGATTCATATTTCATCTGTTGTATATTTTATTTCTTTTGCAAGGCAATCTTGTTAGCCGCCGCTTCAACAAAATACAGCTACCAGGTTAATCTACTACTCCTATATTTATTTTTAATAAGCTTGTTGGCCTACCTTTTATAAGTTAAGCTACTGTGTCAACAGTCGATATGTAGGCTGGTCAAGATCAATGCTTTATAAATTATTCCTATTTTGATCGACCAAGTAACAAGGGAATAGCAGGTTTTTTTTTTTTCCACCAAGGTTCCACAATAGGCTGGTCCTGGCCCTGGTCTTAGATTTTACAATTTTTAATCAATCAAGCAGGCATATGAGCCGGTGATAAAACCCGAAAAGAAAAGTGGTGCTGATTTGCTGAAGTGGGCAAATCCAGATTCCAAAAATCCTGAAGAACCACAAAAGAAAAGTATGAAGAAGCATATTTCCCCCCAAAAAACCTGTCTTCAACCAAAGTCATCAGGGTTTTAATGGCATGAAGCCAACAAAAATTGACCTCCAACACTTGGACTACTTTTTCATGTCTGGGTCTCAGACATGAAACTGTGTTTGGTCTCAAACCTAACATTTGAATTCCTTCAATCTCCCGTTACCTGCCTCAACGTAACGGTTCATATCTTTTCTTTTTATCTCCAATTCAAATTTCCGTACGTTGTAGCAGAAGATTTTATCACTTTTAGCAGGGAAATCTTTTTTAAGGATTCAAATTTTGAAAAAATAAAAATAAAAAAAATTGTTAGGGTTAAGTAAGAAAACAAAGGAGATGTCAAGGTGGGGGCAAAACTTTCGGCCGAATCGCGTGATAACAATGACATTTCTTGTTGTTTACGTAAAAGCTCACAACTAGCTATGCCTATCAAGTTTGGCACTTTTTGTTGATATTATACCTCCTCTGAAGGCAAATATTAAATGGCTTCTTTTGAATCTCAACCCCCATTTTTTTCTTCTTCCTTCCTTTCGGCTTGGGAGTTGGCCTTAATATTACATTACATAGTAAACTCAATTTCAGAGGAAGAAGTGATGAGAGGAAATATATATAGAATCATAATCTTGCTTTGACAACATTGGTGGGAAAGCTTTAGTTTATCAATCATGCGTGTGTTTGATAACTTTTGATTGACAAAAAAGATAACGAAAGGCGAATTTTCTCCAACAACTAGGATCAGGCAGGGAAAAGGAGGAAAAGTTTCTGCATAACTTTCAACTGTTTGAATTGGGGAAAAAAAAGAAGGATTAGCTGTACACCATTTCGACATTATTAGCGCGTAAACACATGCCTTAACAATGCTTAGAACCTTTAATCATGCTCACCTCTATCATTGCTAATGTATAATACATTTTGTATCTTGTACCAGGATTGGAAATATAACCTCAGAAGGACAAGAATTATTTTAAGAAATGTAAAGAACAAAAGGAAAAAGCATTGTTGGCCCTTTCAGAACTAGTTTAAGCGAGGCTAAGGGGACATGGAGAATGGGCAAAAACCAGATTGCCCCCACAGGTCCCCCCACTTTGAACTAACCAACATCCCTAAACATCAATCTGTAGAATTTGTCAGTTTGCCTTAATTCAAGATGCCTTGCCTAGCTAACAAATTGTGGCAGATTGGTCATGGCCCTCTTACCAAAACAAGCCTACCATCCCCCTAAAAAGATTCCAACTCAACCCCCTAAAGAATGCAGAAAAAAAGATGTTTTTTTTCTGAAAACGTTTTAAATTAGTACATAAGTAACCATCTTGAGAAATTAATTGGTAGATGATGAAAAGAATAAATTAAAATTAAAAAAAAAGAAACTCATCTAGCAGGAATCTAATACACACTGTCTTTCTTGTCTAATGGTCTGAATGTTGTAGGAGAAGAAGCCAATGGCAGTACCTGAGAAGAACTTGAAGGGTACTGTGGTAAATATTGGAAAGGTTCTCTGTTCTTACCAACAATGAATTTAAGGAAAGACCCTTCTGTATCTTCTGTTAAAATTGTTGTACTGTTAACCGCTTTAACACCAGAATCTTGAAGCGAACCACCATTTCTCTGTACCCTTTTCTCAGCTTCTAGCATCAATCGTCTTAAAAGCTTTTCTTCTGCATCCCTCAAGAACTTAAATTTCGGAGGAGGGGAAGATCGCACCTTATTTAACTCTGCATCTGTCGATGATTCAAAGAGAGGGTTGAATCCTTGGCGGTGATAAGAATCTAAGGGGTTCAAAGGAGGTGACTTCATGGGTGGAGAAGCCAAAGGACTAAGAAAAGGAGTGTCAACAGTTAGTATAAGATCACTCAAGCTCCTTGTTCTTGACCCTTTCCTGCTCCTATCTTCTGACTCCAAATCTTCCTTCGTTTCCTCCTTGATTGTGAACAGAAATCTCGGTGGACCTGCCAGATTGTGTAGTCTCATGAGCTCTGATTCCACTCCCTCTTCTCCAAAACCCTTTGGCAGTAAATCCTTGCTTGAGCCAAGTTCCAGGTCTGGCTCAACACCATTGGTATCTTGGTCTTTAACTAAATCTTGGTTGTTGTTGTTGGTAGCGGTGGCTGCATGCAAAGAGGCAGATTTCTTCCAGCAGAAGAGTTGAATAAGCTCCTTTGCATAGTTGCCGTAATCATCTTCAACTTCTGAAGTAGCAATTCTCTTCTTCCACCAAAGCAAATAGTAAAGCTCAGCAACAAGTGCCAATAGCAGACAACCAAAAACCAAACTTAAACCAATGCCTAATCCACTGAAAGATGTCATCTTTGCTTGGAAATTTACATCTCCTGAATATATCTAATCTTGGTTTTGCAAATTCCACAAGATTCTCTCTCTCAGCTCTGTACCAAAATGTAAAAAGTTGTAAGAAAAAAAAAAAGAAAAGACCTTTAACTCATGCCAGAACTTCCATATGAGGTACACAAACTAAAACAAAAGCCCATTTTCCTAAAGGAAACAACAATGGAATATTGAAGTAGCTAAAGAAAACATCGAACCCCAAAGACCCCAGATAACCTTCACTTTCACTGCAATTGAAAAGTTAAGATTCTTGTGGTAAAGCATTAGGGGCCATGTATATTTGCCGGAAACACACGCCATGAGGAATCTGAGGAAATGCCGAGGAAATTTCACTACATATAAAAAAAAATAACTTACCTTATACGTCCAAAATTTCTCAGCAACAACGGAACACCACAAAAATGGTGTAGACAATAGCCAATGGAAACAAAAACCTTAGCTTGGAATAAAAAAATGAAGGGAAAATTATTTTGTAGAAGTTGAAAACTGAAGACAGAACAAAGAAGGGTGTGAGAGAGAGCAGCAAACTACATGATATGATAAAGGGTATTAGCAAATCTTTGTACGATCGTGCTGAAGTGCGTGGAGATGGCAATAGCTAGAAGAGCAGCTCACATGGGCAGTATAGGTTTTGAAACGAAACTAATAGAAAAATGAAAAGATTGCCCCACGCGGTAGCCAGGCCTCCACGTAACCTTAACTGGATTACAAGACGGAGACAAAGTATACAGCCATCGTCCATTAAAATCTAGCTGTGGGTTTGGATGGAATACGTGAACAAAGGTGTGATCTACCATATTCTCTTATGTGAGCAACCTTTTGTTAAAGCCATAGTAGGAGAATCTTTCCTCTCTACCTTTTCCTTTGTTTTACACAAATTTATCAAATAAGATTACTATTTGAAGTTATATTTTTTTAATTATTTTAATATACAAATTTAAAACCTTCGTCTTTGAAATCAACTCTAACATTATTAAATTAAATATTCGTGATAATTTTCTTTAGACTTAGGTGAGAAGGAATTCCTTCAAATCCAATCATGTTATAGCATCTGCTTGCTTTACCTCAATGTTGATTTAGTACTCCCTCCAGTTCAATTTGATTATCTTATATTGATTTTTACGGAGTTTAAAAGAAATTAATTTTAAATTAAGTTTTTATAAAATTAAATTTTTATGATTTTTAATATTAAAAAATATATAATATATAATAAAATTTTAAAATATAAAAAATAAAAATTTTATATGTTAAAAAAAGAGATTTAATTTTGAAACATCCATAAAAAAAAAGACAAAAAATAGAATAGAAAGAGTAAAAAGTTATTTATATCTTCCCCTGTTGATCTTTAGATACATTCCTCTTTGTCATAAAAAGTTTTAGCATGTGAAATCGTAGCATGGGTAGACTCTACCTATTGCAAATTAAGGCTATCCTTTTGCTGCTAAAACTTCCAATTTCAAACTCTTGAACTTTCACAATTGAAAGCGATTAATAAAAAAGGAAAAAAGAAAAGGTACCTTAAGAATTTTTGTTTTATTTCACATTGAATCGAGTAAGCCTGGTAATTTCAATCTTTGAAAGAGAAACAACATTCAATTGCAAGAACCGACTATTGAATTGGATTGCCTATGAAATGTCCCACATGCATTAACACGACGACATATGGTCATATCCCTGCAGCTTAAGGCATAAGTACTTTCAAATGTCCCACTGCATGCCCAGATCTACCCCCAAATAAATTGTCCATAAATACTGTATCTTCCCCTAACTTCTCAAGCTGGCTAACGATGACAATAATGTATTGTAATGGAAAACTCATAAAATCAAACTATTAAGACAGAATATAATAAGGAAAAGCATGCCGAAGTGAGAAATTAAAGTTAGAAAGTAACATAAAAAGGTACCAATTAATTCGAAATGCTGGCTTTTAATTTCTCTCTTTATTTATTTATTTATTCTCTTTTCACTTTTTTCTTGGTGGGCACAGGACCTCGGGAAGCCTGTAACCCAGTTGTCTAAGATTAAGACCCACCCGAAGGAGGATTGAACCGAGCCGCGCTTGGTGCCAAAGTGAAATCATAAACATGGCCCATCTGGTTCGGAGATTGGAGTGCTGAGGGGACCCTTTTGAACATTGAAACCGATGGATCAATGAGAACCACCATAGGGTCTAATCATAACCGCTAATGATTCGCTCATTTTCGAAACAATTCCACTGTGTTGGGCAAATACGGCAAAACGGCAAGTCTAACAAGGTCCCCTTGGTTTGGTACACTTAGCAATGGGACATTTAAATTCTGCCCAATATCAAGGACGAATTGAATTGATTTTGAAAACAACTTCTACGGACACTGGCTCGTAAACTTAAGTTTTTTTTATGCTGTTGATGCTGAATTTGAAGGTCAGAATTTTAAAATTACAAGAAAAAAATAATAATTAAAAGTAAAAATAAAATATTTTTACGTTTGCATTCTACACTCAAATCAAATGTTATAATAAAAAAAATAAAAAAAAGTGAGATTGGCAATGTAATATTTGAATAATTTTATTTATAAGCGAAAGATAAAAATAATGAGATAAAATAATAATATTATCAAATAATATAATATTATATATGTTAAATTGATTTAAAAATAATCAAATCTCTTTAATTATCTGCTGATAATTTTTAATAAAAGAATAAACCAAATTAATTTCTGAACCAAAAAATACTCCAACATACCTCAATCTCCACTTTAAAAATGTCTTAATTCTCCCATTGAAGTAACTTGCAAGGAAAATGTTGAGAACTACCACATGCCCATTGCATAAGGTAAAAGGACAGACTGTGTTTCCTTATCGATTTCCTTCCATTATCATTGATGAAGTTGCCAAAGCAAGAATGCTGCCTTGCTGGTTTAGTTGTAAAACGATAGATGGTGTTAACTTCCAATTTTCATTATTATAATGTAGTTGGCAAGTCGATTAAAAATGAAGTTTTAACTAGATCAAGTGGATAAGATTAAAAGGAAACCCTTCATTGGTTTATAGTTCGGCTCGACCTTGTCACAATCTTGAAAAAAAAACTATTACATTGATTTCATTCTAGTTTAAATGTTCTAATCATTTTAAGGAAGAACCAAGATATAATTAAATAAACTTTTGAACCTTGAGCTTAGTTTGTTAGATAAGTTTAAAATTTAACATTTGTAATTCCTTTTATCTTTAAACTGTTATTTTTTGTATATAAAAAAATTATCTATGAATTTATATTCAATTAATTATTCCCATATTTTTGCCCCAAGGGAAAAAGGAAAAAGTTATTAGAAAAATAGTTTTCTGAAGTCTTGGACAATTTTGGACCTAAGTAGGGATCTTGGGCCTAAGTTCATGATCAATATTGAGCTTTGAAAGATGGATTCGGCTTTGGAGGTCGGACTAAGTACGGTAAAGTTGGGCTGGAAGCAAAACAGTAAATTCTTAAAAATAAAAATAAAATATACTATTCAGGTGAAAAAAATAAAAAAAAATTAAAATTGATTTAAAATCATAACGATCAATTTGATTTTTTTTATTCAATTCAAATTAAGTTCAGATATTAAATATATATATTAATCTGAGATTAAGTTTCATATTGAAAAATAAAAAGTAAAAAATAAATAGAATCGAACTAAGTTATATATATTTTTAATTTTTATAAATATTTTAAAATTTTATAAAATAAAAATCATAATTTTATATCAAAATTTATTTAAATATATTAAAATAATATAAAAAATTAATAAATTAAATCGAACCGAATCAATAAAATTCGATTCGATTCAAATTGAATAAAAATTTGATTTAAATTAAATTATTATCACCTTTACTTAATCATTATTAGTATAACTCATTTAGTATTTATTTATTTTTTTCGGACGTCATACTATTAGCGGTATAAATTTAATTTAGAGCAAGATTGTGAGACTTTTTTTATTAATTACTCCTCGTAAGTTGTCCTTTTTATCATTATTTTGCTTAATTTTTACTGTGCCAACATAAGTCCTGTTTCTAAGTCACTGATCACAAACAGTCTAAACACCCAAATATAGTTTCATTTTCTTTCCTTCAACGGCCATCCATATCCATGTTTGGCTATATTTTACAACGCTTGCAGCCAAAAGTAAAACCAGGTTAAGGAAGCTTGTGTCTTTTGCTGACAAACTAGGTACAGAAAGGAAAAGAAGCGCTCAGATCCCCCATTTAAAGAGATAGAAATAAAGAGATGGCATAGCAATCTGCATCGAATTCCAAGCCAAGGAAAAAAAGAGCAGAGAATAGGGAGGAGGTGGTGGCGGTGGTGGTTGGTGGAGGTTGAGTTTCACGAGGCGGCAGCTTGTATAAAGGTGGCGGCAGCTAGCAGTAGCACTAGTAACAGCGCGTGAAAAAAAAGCATGCATAAGAGTCAGCAAATTAAAATCCCCTTTAAGTCGTGCATGAGCTACACCACCCTATCATCGGCTCTTTTGCTCCCTACTTGATTGACCGTGTGACTGCGCCCATTAATGGCGCGTTGACATCATTTCCCTCTTTTCACTCCTTTTGTTTTTCTCGCTAAACTTTCTTTCTGATCAAATGCTCCCTTCAGTTCAAGCACTCACCAATGACGTTTCATGGGTTCTAACTACTAATTAATTAGTCTTCAACTAAAGTAATCAAAGTTTTCAAATTTTAAAATGCATTATTTATTTCTTTAATGATTCACTTGTCGCTTAAATTTTACTAGCTGTTTATTTCTGTATTCCCTACTTTAATCGGAACCCTTTTTATCTACTTCATGTTCAAACTTTTTTGTTTAATGCTAGATGAAATCATTCATTGAAAACCATGAAGATTAATCAAATAACTAATGCTTGAACATTTTGTGTTGATGAAGATTTTTATAAAGAAAAAGGCTCAACAATATGAATAGTTAAAACTTACAAGCCATAACCAAGGCAGCAAGCAAAGCGAAGCATATGCAACATGAACCAAAGGCAGAGCAGCTAAACCCCACAAAGCACAGTCACCTAAACCTAGACGATTCAACTTCATCTGCATGCACTCATCTGCTCAGTTCTTACTTCAATTCCCAAAGCTTAGCCCTTACCTACACCTTACAGCCCAACCGGCTGTCTTTTTCCTCTATTTGACGTTTCTACCCTTCCTTTTCTTCAATGGCGTATGTCCTGCGTTTTTCCTTCTCATCATCAGTTTTCTTTCATTCCCGAGATGCAACCATACAGCAACAACTGGTCAAATACTAACATTAAAAAACAGAGCAACGATCTTGGGACAATTTCGTCTTTGTAACTTCTTTTCGTTTTCTAACGAAGAAGACGACGAGAAACCAAAGCCTCCCTTCAGCCGCTACCCGCCATGTTTTCAGAGATTTTCAGCACAAAAAACAATACGCATGTCAATCTCTCTTTCTCTCTTCCATATTTTCCTGTTTGACCCCGTCTTTTCTCTATTTAAAAGAGTACAAAAACCATGCAAATTCCATGCCAATTGCCAAACGCTTTTTTCTCTCCATCTTTCAAGTCATTTTGTCTTGTTTCTTTTATCAAACTTAAAACCCTAGAAGAATCAATAAAATCTAAGAAAATCCATTCATTTGTTTCTCTCTGTCTTCCCAGGACTTGTTCTCCTCTTTTACATCAATCTTTACTCCTCAGAATCCATAACCTCTCTTGACTAAAAAGAAAAGAAAGTATGGAAGGTGGTAACACGGACATGGCCGGCTCTGGTGGAACTACAGGGAATTCAAGGTGGAATCCAACAAAGGAGCAAATAAGCATGCTTGAAAGTTTGTACAGGCAAGGGATAAGGACGCCAAGCGCAGACCAGATACAGCAGATAGCAAGTAGGCTCAAGGTTTATGGCACCATTGAAGGGAAAAATGTGTTCTATTGGTTTCAAAATCATAAGGCAAGGCAAAGGCAGAAACAGAAGCAAGAGAATATGGCTTATATCAATCGCTATCTTCATGGGACTCAACCCGTTTATCCTCCTCCACCTCCTGGCCCCAATGGTTCTTTTCGAAATCCATTTTTTGAGTATTCTTTTTTTTGGGCATATTTTATTTGTTCACCCTTTAACGTTTTACACTTTTTAAAGAAGATCAAAAGAAACTTTGTGTTTCTCGTATTTCTTTTGGGTTTCGTTATTTGTTTTTGTACATTATTTTATTCCAGATACATCTTCGTTCCAAGCTGTCTCTACATGCAGATGGGCTCGATACGTGTGTTAAAGGCTAAATTTAAAGTGTCCATCTCTCTCGCAATTTTATTAGATTGTTTTAGTATTGCTTGAAGCTACTTGGACTTGATTCTTTAATTTCATTCTTTCACTTCGACAGATGATTAGTACTTTCATACCCCTGTCCTTTGCGAACTGATTTGTAGTCTATTTTCATTTCCTGCCTTACAGTTTGTACCCCACAAACAGGTGGACAAAACAAGTGCAGTAAATCCAATTGGAAACATATTTTATATTCCCACATTTAATTTCCTTGTTTTCTCTGTTTTATCCAGGCTTATCCATTTTAACTGTTGTTCAATTAAACATCTAAATTTGGATTTTTTTTTTGTTGCAGGTGTTCGTGGTCCATATTTTTTACAACAAGGTGATATAGGGTTTTACCCTCAGTGCTCCCACAAGGTTCTTATCCCTGGTGTAGTCAGGAGGAGAGGAAGGCCTGAGAAAATGGAGAAGGCAGGATTCTATGGAGGAGCTTCATATGATCTGGGTCACCAGCATTACAGCACCATGATGCCAGTCCCAGATACTGAAAACTATGAAGGAGTCCTCAACAATGGTAGCAACAGTAGTAATCATGAGACCTTGGCTCTCTTCCCTTTGCATCCAACCGGAGTTTCAGAAGGAAAGGCAACATTAATGTCTTCACTTAGTTCAACTACTTCAGCTGGAAATTCCACTACACCCTCCAGCTCTTATGAGACTACTGCTGGTATTGACCAAGAAGGCTTTGGTCAACTTCACTTCTTTGATTTCTTATCTTGTCAAGGTTCTTCTGAAAGTGATTGAAAATATGATGGAGGCTAAGAACAACATATGAAGCTAGCTAGTAGAGTCTTTGAAATGTTTCTTTTTACCATTTTTTCCGCCTAATGAGTGGTGAGGAAGGGAAGTTTTTGTCCTTGTGGTATATCTGTTCTTATATTATGTCATTGACTTTTGTGTTTCCTTCTGCCCCAAGGTTCATTGTGGCGAGTATAAGTTGAGTTCTAAGATTAACGTTAAGATCAAAGTAGCCTAAGAATCAGCCTGAAATAGATCCAGCTTAAAGTGGTCTAAAATTCTGCCGAGTTTTTTGTTCTCTATGCTCCTTACAATCTTATTCATTCGGCCTTATGTTTCTGGGCTCTTTAACCTTTTGGACTTGGATCATTGTTAAAAAGCTTGGTCATCGTAATTCTCTGCCCCATCCCTGTATCCTACCTGAACGATTAAACCAACAGTCCAACAGTATTAACCTTTGAAGTCGAGAAAGGTCATTTGCTCTCCCAACAACCAAGCCACAAAGGAGAGACGTCAGCGGGGCCTATGGTTCTAACATTTGATCCTATCTAAACTAATAATTTTAGCATGAATTGACGATTGGCACCATTAATGCAGACTATATAGCTTACTATCCTACCATTCGAGGTATCTATAAATTTATGTGAACTTAAATGAAAACCTTTCTAAAAAGATTGAACTTTAACATATAAGAAAAACGAATTCCTCTTATTATCAATTGGATTAACCCTTGTAGATATGAAATGGATAAGACTTACTGCATATTTGGATAACTAATGGGGACCCAATTAGTGATATGGATGAACTTCAAGATCCACTGTCCCACACCCAAGATTGGCTAGGCTAGCCATGGAAATGTTTGGGCCTTAACTCCTTCGAGCAATCCCTATATAAAGGCCCACAGCATCCAAATCAGGCTCTTCCCATCCCGAAAGGGCCATGACCCGAAGACCCAAATAAATTAAATTCCAATCCTGGTTTTCTTCTCAAGTTATCTTCCTTCCGTCACCGTTTCATTCTGACCGTTCCTTGCACTTGTCACCTGTCATTTTCTTTCTGTTGTTTGTTTCCTACCAAAATTAAATGCCGTCACCGTCACTTCACGTCACACAAATGACCTCCAACACGCTGACGTTTAGTGTCTCAACAGGACCTAATAATCCCGAAATTAAACGGTATTTAACGGTAGTCGTCATCTTTGTTGTTTCCTCTTCAATTTCTGTCTGCCCTAGACTCCTGGCTTGTCAGAGACGATATTTGGCTCTCTCTCTCTTGTGGGATTCTATACCAAAAAGACTCAAAAAGGTAAATCTCTCAATATCTCTTCTTGTTATATTCACTTCTTTGTTTTTCTTCTTCTGATTAATAGTACTATTTTTTACTCTTCATAGGATTCTCTCTAGGTAAGGCAAGAAAAAAGGTTTATTTTTTTAATGATATTCATGAATGAAAGTTCATTACTTTGTAATTCAGAAGTGATAGATGGTTGGGTTTCTTTGATTTTGTTAGTTTCACGAGCTTTGGCTTTGATTTGGTGAGATTCCAACTGTTTTTGGTGCTGAAACAAGAAAACTCTTTAGTGGATAAGGGAAGAAAAAGGTGATTCTTTTACGATATTCATCGATGAGATGAAGTGAAAGATTATTGGGCTTTTTCCTTTTTTTTTGGTTTGATTTGTTAAGATTAAAATTTGTTCTTTGGACTAAAAGGGAATACTCTTATAGTGTCTAAGTGGGTCTTTAAAAGATGGGAGAAGATTTGCTCACAAGCTTGTCTATTGAAAATCACCACCCATCAACAGTTTTATCTATGGATTCAAGTTCAGTCTCTCATGAGGAATTAGATAGAGAGATGAACCGGTCAATTGCTCTTTCTAGACCACCTGATATTAATCTTATTCCTCTATCGGCTGAGCGTAGTCCTCCACAATCATGGAATTCTGATCCATTAGATATGTTAGATGTTACTCTTGGAACTCAAGTCAATGAGGCTGATACGTTGGTTACTGTGTCAAAAAGCGGGCGTAAATGTGCCAAGAGATTGGATAGTGTTTGGGGTGCTTGGCTTTTCTTTAGCTGTTATTTTAAGCCTGTGTTTAATGAGAAATCGAAAGTCAAGGTGACAAGGGACGGAAGTGGAGTTTCAGGGTTTGATAAGTCGGATCTTGACCTAGAGGTGTTTTTGGTACAGCATGATATGGAGAATATGTATATGTGGGTTTTTAAGGAGAGGCCTGAGAATGCATTGGGTAAGATGCAGTTGAGGAGTTACATGAATGGGCATTCGCGTCAAGGGGAGCGGCCTTTTCCATTTAGTGCTGATAAGGGCTTTGTTCGATCACATAGGATGCAGCGAAAGCATTATAGGGGTCTATCTAATCCTCAGTGTGTGCATGGAATTGAGGTTGTTCCGTCTCCCAATCTCAGTGGTCTTGATGAAGAAGAGCAAAAGAGGTGGATGGAACTTACTGGAAGGGATCTGAACTTCTCAGTCCCACCTGAAGCAAGTGAATTTTGTACCTGGAGGAACCTTACTAACACAGAATTTGAGCTTGATAGACCCCTTCCTCCTTTGAAAACTCACCCACAGCCTCTTCCAAAAAAGCTGCTTAATGGATCAGGTTTAAATTTGTCAACTCGGCCATCAAACCATGCAAACGGTAGTGTTATGGATCTCTCCCCTGTCATTAACAAGAGGAAGAAGGATTTGTTTCTAAATGGCAACGACGAAGACTGTTGTTTGCTCATTAATCAGCATAATGATAGGGTTAATGATACAGAGATGCACCCAATTGAACCACCTTGGTTGAATGAGTTTAGCGGAGTAATGAGAAATGTTTGTGGTCCGGTTACAGCTGCAAAAACTATTTATGAGGATGAACAAGGATACCTAATTATCATCAGCTTGCCTTTTGCCGATCTTGAAAGGGTCAAAGTTACTTGGTGGAATAATCTGACGCATGGTGTTGTAAAGATATCATCTGTAAGCACAGCTTGCATGCCCTTTATTAAGAGAAATGATAGAACATTCAAGCTTACAGATCCATCTCCTGAGCATTGTCCACCGGGAGAGTTCATAAGGGAAATACCTCTACCAACCAGGATTCCGGATGATGCTAAGCTAGAAGCATATGGTGATGAAACAGGAACTGGTCTTGAAATCATAGTGCCAAAGCACCGAACAGGTCCAGAAGAACACGAGGTTCGCGTCTGCCTTCGTCCTCTCCTTGGACCAAATGAACTATTGCTGTCTTGACTTTCTGAGTGTGGCTTTCATTGGAGAATTGCAAAGATACTGTGGTAAATTTTCTATTATTTTGTGCCAAAGGAAATTCTTAAAGGAAATAAATTTACATATTCCTCCTCAACTGTTGTACTCATTTTGATCTTTATAATGTTTGTCATCTTGCATGATAGCGTCGATCAGGGACTCTTTCAAGCTTCAACGTCGAAATTCGGGTGTATGCCACCTTATCATACATGGATGGTGTATGGCAAGGTGAATGCAATCCCTCATTTCTCCTATATCTTTTGCTTACTAATATTCTATCAACTGATTGCTCGTTGGCCTGATTTTCTAGCAGATGGATCTATACATATATCTTTAACTTACTGATTGATAGATAGACTTTGTATTTTACCTGCCATATTCTTGCATTATATTTCTTTCTATCTCGACGAGCACGTTAGACCCTCGACTCTCAATTATGCATCCAAGTAGAAAGGAATTAAAACGAAACAAATGAGAAGAAAATATCCAAGGAAAATGAAAACCAAGGATCAACAATGTACACGATTGAAGCTGTGAAACAGGTCGCTTTAATATATAGTTTTAAACACAGGTGGCTAGTACGAGGAAACGAGAGCTATTACACACAGAAACAACATTTTAGAAAAGATGAAAAGGTTAAAAAAACAACAAAATCCATCTCATAACACCAGACCCCTACAAGTCACCTCCAGCTTAATCCACTTCTTCGATCTTGGGACCAGCACCGCTTCCACCACCGACGGAAGGACCATCCTCATCCATAGCTCCAGCACCCATATCACCACTAGCTCCCTGGTACATCTTGGCAATAATCGGGTTGCAAATGCTTTCCAGCTCCTTCATCTTGTCCTCAAACTCATCCACCTCAGCCAGCTGGTTTCCATCGAGCCATTGGATAGCTTGCTCAATCGCATCCTCGATCTTCTTCTTATCGGCAGCTGGAAGCTTGGAACTGATCTTCTCATCCTTGAGCGTGTTTCTCATGTTATAAGCATAATTCTCGAGAGCGTTCTTGGCCTCAACGTTCTTCTTGTGTTCCTCGTCCTCTGACTTGTATTTCTCCGCTTCTTGCACCATCTTCTCAATCTCTTCCTTAGATAGTCTACCCTTGTCATTAGTAATGGTGATCTTGTTCTTCTGTCCAGTGGTCTTATCCTCAGCGGAGACATTCAAAATACCATTGGCATCAATGTCGAAGCAGACATTGATTTGAGGAACACCACGAGGAGCTGGAGGAATACCAGAAAGCTCAAATTTCCCAAGCAAATTGTTATCCTTGGTTCTTGACCTCTCACCCTCGTAAACCTGAATCAAAACTCCAGGTTGGTTATCCGAGTAAGTAGAGAAATCTTGTTCCTTTTTGGTTGGGATAGTGGTATTCCTTGGAATCAACACGGTCATGACTCCACCAGCAGTTTCCAAACCAAGGGAAAGTGGGGTGACATCCAAAAGCAGCAAATCTTGAACCTTCTCATTACCCTCACCACTCAAAATTGCAGCTTGTACAGCAGCACCATAAGCAACAGCTTCATCGGGGTTAATGCTCTTGCAAAGCTCTTTACCATTGAAAAAGTCTTGCAACAATTGCTGAACTTTTGGAATCCTTGTAGATCCACCTACAAGAACCACATCATGAACTCTGCTTTTGTCCATCTTAGCATCCCTCAAACATTTCTCCACCGGCTCCATGCATTTCCTAAACAGATCCATATTCAACTCCTCAAATCGAGCTCGGGTAATTGTTGTGTAAAAATCAATCCCTTCATACAAAGAATCAATCTCAATTGTAGTTTGAGCAGTTGAGGACAATGTCCTCTTTGCTCTTTCACAGGCTGTTCTCAACCTTCTCAATGCTCTTGGGTTCCCGCTAATATCTTTCTTGTGTTTCCTCTTAAACTCCTGCACAAAATGATTCACCATTCTATTATCAAAATCTTCACCTCCCAAATGGGTATCTCCAGCTGTAGCCTTCACTTCGAAAATCCCCTCTTCTATTGTCAACAATGAGACATCAAAAGTACCCCCACCAAGGTCAAAAATAAGCACATTCTTTTCCCCTGCACTTCCCGCCTTCTTATCGAGCCCGTAGGCAATAGCTGCAGCCGTTGGCTCATTGATTATACGCATGACATTGAGGCCAGCAATGACACCAGCGTCTTTCGTGGCCTGACGCTGGGAGTCATTGAAGTAAGCCGGGACGGTGACGACGGCGTTTTTAATGGTGCACCCGAGATAAGCCTCAGCGATTTCCTTCATCTTCATCAGAACCATGGAGGAGATTTCTTCAGCGGCAAATTGCTTCTCTTCCCCCTTGTAGGTGACAACAATCATGGGCTTGTCTCCAGGCCCAGGAATGACCTTGAATGGCCACAGTTTCATGTCGCTTTGGACCGAAGGGTCGCTGAATCTTCTACCGATCAAACGCTTAGCATCTGGAAAATAATATAGCAATACCATCAAAACACGAGCACAAAATTTATTTCTAAAAGAAAATAAGCATTAATCAATAAAACTTTAAGAAGAGAATTTCAGCTATATTAACGTTATTAATTAAAAATTAAAACCTTCAAATTTTAGATTTCCCTCTAGAATTGAACAAAATATGGCCAAAACGGTGTAAAATTGAACGATTGAAGCTAAATATGCAGCGAACGAGTAAAATTGAACGATATTTTAAAAGCTTGTTCAAAGTCTAAAGAGGGCTGAGGACTTACCGAAAACGGTATTGGTAGGATTCATTGCGACTTGATTCTTAGCCGCATCGCCAATCAAACGCTCGGTGTCGGTAAAAGCCACGTAAGACGGTGTGGTTCTGTTTCCCTGATCATTAGCTATGATCTCCACACGATCATGTTGCCAAACACCAACGCACGAGTAAGTCGTGCCGAGATCTATCCCAATCGCCGGACCTTCGCCTTTGCCAGCCATTGCAACTTAGAACAAAACACAAAATAGTAGTAGAAAAATAGCTTAGAAAATTGAAGAATTTGAGAGAGAAAATTTCCAGAGACTTTGATGAGAGCTAAGAAGAAATTTTGTTGTTTTATAACGCAAGTTTGATTTCTGGAAAGTTCTGGTCGTGTATTTTCAGCCGTTGGATCAAGAATTCTAGACGGTTCAAGATTTTTTCATTTTCCTTCTTCCGCTCCATTTGGAGGTGCCAAGCTTGTCTAGGGAGTTCCAGAGCTTTCAGTTTCCAAATCTAAAGTAACATGTGCGACACACGCTCCTGAGATATCATGCCTGTTTGAAAAGCAACGTCAAAACTTTATGGTACTGTTGGCGGGTAGGATTTTTCTGATTGGCTACTCGTACTGTTTGCCACGTTATTCACGATTGGGATTGGCTAATCCAAGTGGATTGTTTGGCCGCGTCAAATTTTGGAATCCTCTTTTGCTTAAGAAAAGCCTCTGATTAGTTTCCACTTTCCCAGGTTCTTCCCCTTTTTGGTTTTAATTTTATACAATACAAGTTTTTTCTTGAGATTATTCCAAAAAAAAATTATTACACCTCAAATTAAAATAATTTAAATTTAAAGAGTAAAATAATTTCCAAACAATACAATTTATCTTAATAACTCGCAGTAAAACCAATGTTCAAGTTTTTTTGGCCAATCCTATGTTCAAGATTTAAGTCATTATTTCAATTATCCTTAATTGAATGTATGCGAAATATGTAAACTGAGTTAAATTTTTAATAATGAAAAATGTTAAATGATGATAAATTCTTTTTAACTTATTGTTTGAAAGTAATTCCACCAGTTTTTTTTTTATTTATTTTGTAAAAAATAATATTTAAAGCAAACTTTTTGAACGATGATACATACATTTATTATTGAATAAATATTAAAATATAATTTTATAAAGTATTAATTTATATTATGATGCGTTTCTTAAATATTTTTAGGTGAGATGAAGTTTCATTTAACTAAATAATAACTCACTTTATGTACCAAAATTAAAATAATAACTCATGTTTATTATTTCGCCCACGTGCTTTATTGTTTTCACTTGACCGTAAGTTATTGTTTTTATCATTACGAGATAAAAAGGTAAATATATATATATATATATATTAATATAATGTAGTGTTTGATATTTTTTGTAAGATTATTATGATAATATAATTAATAAGATAATTTTATTATAAAAATAATATTTTTATTTGTGATTTAAAATTATTTTGTTTGGTTAATAATCATAAATATTTAGTAATAAAATGATATTAAATATTATTTTGTTTAAAAGTACAAAAATAATTATGTATATTATAATAATTATTTAAGTTAATGATTTAATATTATTTAAAAATAATAATTTATAAAATATTAGTAAATTTATTTATTTTGTAATAAAATAAAATAAAATAATTTAATTACTAAATATATTTATTGATAGTAAACTAATTTTATAATATAAATTATGTAAAAAATATTTGAATTATAAAATAAAATTAATCTATTAAATTCATATTAATTTTATAATAAAGAAAAACAAAAATATTATATTGTATATAAAATATAAAAAACATAAATAATTTTTTAAATTATTACAATAAATACTAATTTTAAAATATAAATAATTATAATATAAATAATATAATTTTAAGAAAAAATAAATTTTTAATTCATAAATTAAATCAATAATATTAACTATTATTATTTTTATATATTATTTCACTTTAATAATAATAAATTTTTAACAATTTTAGATGAAAATTAAATTATTTTACAAGATATTGATTTAATTATTAATGGTGATTTAAACTCATCCTTACGTAAAATCATTAAATACTTATCCAACATAATAATTTAATCATATATGTAAAATCATTATAATTTTAAAAATAACTATACCATATCAAATATTATCTAAAAATAAAGTGATTAAATTACTAACATAACACTACCTAATAATTTAACTAATTAGATTTAAGTAACAAAAATTCCATTTTAATTTTTTAAAAAATCATGTTGAGTCAATTGTGATTTGATTTTGTACGGATAGACCAGTCCAATTTCTTAGAGAAGGCAAACACATAATATATTCCATTTTCTTTCCCATCCCAATTTGGGAAACCTGACGTGGACTAATCTCACTGGCTGAAAACATCCACCGTTAAGAAAGTCGCGCCCAGGATCTTTTGGAGGTTCATTTCATTTCAACGAACCACAAAATTTAGGATAATTAAAAAAATACTCTAATTCTCTACCGAAAACCTCATCTCCATTCCTCTCCCACTCATGACTCTCTGAAAAAAAAATCTCTTCTCTTCAATTCCTCCCTTTCTTTCAGAGTCCTTACATCAAAGAAAAATCCATGGCGAGAACTTTGATTTCATTACAGCCGTTCATCGGCACTCCGCCTCCATCATCAACAGTCTTTCACCATGGTGGCCTCTACACGCTCCCTCACCGTAGACTCGCCTTGTCCACAGTCCGTCTCAGCTTCAACGAAATCCCTCCTATTCCCTCATTCTACTCTTCCGTCGATTTCCAAGCATTTTTTACCAAAGTCGAGAGTCTTCTATACACTCTCGCCGAAGCTGCTGTTGCGGCCGATCCGGCCGCCACAGCTGCCGGGTCTACCGACGTAACCGCACCAAAAAAATGGCGGCTGGTTCGGCTTCATCTCCGATTCGATGGAATTCGTTCTAAAGGTAAAGCTTCTCTCGTACATATAAACACATAATCGAGAAATCAATCAAGTAATTAATTAACTAACTAATTATTTGTTGATTTATTTTGGTTTTTTTTAGGTGTTGAAAGATGGATTATCGGCTTTACACATGCCCTACGCGTATGGATTTGCGATTGTATTGCTTACGGTTATAGTTAAGATTGCTACATTTCCTTTGACAAAACAGCAGGTTCGAATTTGGTTTGACTTGAATTTAGAAAAAGAAAGTGTTTAAAATTTATCTGTGGTTTTGACTTTTTTGATTCGATAATTAACTGTTAGTTGACAATGGTTGTTTGGTGGAATCAACACTAGCTATGCAAAATCTTCAACCAAAAATAAAAGCTATCCAACAAAGATATGCCGGCAATCAGGCAATACTGAAGTTTGAATTTGAGTATTTAATTGTTTCTTGATTGGAATGGTTCGTTTTGATTTAATTGTTTTCTTTTGGTGTTATATAGGAAAGAATACAACTGGAAACTTCTCGCTTGTATAGGCAGGCTGGGGTTAATCCCTTGGCAGGTATCCTTTAGGTTGATCACGTGGGGTTCTGCTTTTTTTTGGTATTCCTTCAAATTTAACTTGTTTTGGAAGTTTGTTCTTTGCTTCTTTGGTATTTTAGCTTATTAAATCTGGTGAGAAAGAGTTTATGACGGTGGTGTGGCAGTTGATTTGAACTTAGATGTTAGTAGTATTATCATATTATGTTAAAAGAAAATGAATATGAATTGGTAACACAAAGGTATCTTGTGCCATTCTTTCTCTTTAGGCCTTTTGCGTCTCTTCATTTTCTGGAGGTCTTATGGCTGTTAGCTTCATGGGATGATGTTCATCAATATCTTATTTCTTCTTCTCTGCAGGTTGCTTCCCAACTTTAGCCACTATTCCTGTCTGGATAGGCCTGTATCAGGCTCTTTCAAATGTGGCTAATGAGGTAATAAAGTGGTTGACGTAGCATAGCATTTTGAGTGATGTGTGAAAACTGTTTTACATGTTAAAAAACTTTTATTGCTGATTGCTGCAAACTTTTTACTCAAAGGGACTGTTGACAGAAGGTTTCTTTTGAATCCCTTCTTTGGGTGGGCCAACTACAATTGCTGCTCGACAAAGTGGGCCTGGAATTTCTTGGCTTATTCCATTTGTGGTAATAAACTTGCTTCCCAAACTTATAAGTTTTAAGGTTAACAATTCTCTTTGTTGTTTTCATAGATCGCAACATTTTAGGTTACCTTGCTTATTTATTGCATCTTATCGAACTTATTTGTGACAATTCTCTATTTTTTTCTGAAAAATCTATAGAGATGTTAAAGAGACTGATACTTGTTTTATTTATTTTAGCATTTTTGGCATTGATATATTTCTTAGGAGCTGTGAGAGGGGAGATCACTATTTGTTAAGATTGATTGATTAGGTTTACTTTATGGTTTGTAACACCTTCACCTTTGGTTGTCAGTAATCATATTAGCTACTAAACATGTGTAAAGATATGATTTAACCGCATTTTACCTAGCTGAGATTAGACTAAGAATAGCAAACTAGAGATTTCGGATATAGCTTTTGTTGATCAGGCACAGAGACCATGTTATATCTTAAGTCCATTTATCTGGTATGGTTATTTAACATATGAGGTCTCATGCAGGATGGCCATCCACCATTGGGTTGGCATGACACTGCTGCATACCTTGTCTTACCTGTGCTTCTTGTTGTCTCTCAGTATGTTTCAATGGAGCTCATGAAGCCTTCCCAGGTAAGAAGAATGGACTTCGTTGCTGTGATTTCATTCCTATTTTATATATTAATTTGTTAAGTTGTTTGAAGCTTTCAAATCTTCTTTTGACAGACAGATGATTCAGCCCAAACGAACACACTTCTTGTTTTCAAGTTTCTTCCATTTATGATTGGTTACTTTTCATCATCTGTTCCATCAGGATTATCAATTTAGTGGTTGGTCTCTTTTAGCAGTTTTTTTTAAACGAATAGACTTAACATATGCACTTTGCTCTAAAATATAGTTTCTACTTGTGTTACAAATGTATACTGCACAAGATGGTTTTTGTATGGTTGTCATTCTGAAGCATGACTGGAGCACTCCATATTCTTGTTCTATCCTTCTTTTCCTTGATGATGTTGTATGTGTCATCCTAACTTGATTTTTCTTGTATTCACTGTTGTTAATAATGCCTTTTCAGGTTGGATGTGTATGCACTTGGAGTTTGTATGTCCTAGCATAATTTTCTAGGCTTCATTCTGGATTTGATTAGCAATCGAATTTGTGCACATGGGAATAATTTTCTCATCTTCATTGCATTCGGTTCCTCTGGATTTACTTTTGAGCACCCACCACCATTACCATATCTCCAAATCTAACTTATATCATCATTTTTCACAATGTACTCCAAAATATACGTGAATTTGTATTCCTGTTCATGTTTTCCTATTAAATTATTATAGA